TGAGAAACCGCGACATCTCCCCGGAGTTTTTTGGGGGAAACCAGGGACCCAAGAAATCCGTGGTTCTTTCATGTGATTTATGTGATTTTTATGGACTTTTTTATGGAATGTTAAAGAGAATCGGATTTGTTGATGGGATATTTTCATGGGTTTTCACGGGAAAAAAACGATAAAACAATCATGAAATGGGGATTCTTTGGGAAAATACGGGAAATGCGGTCCATGAATTGGTGGAATTTGCGAAAATAGAGATATTGTTGCTGCAATGACCATAAAAAGGAAAAAGAAAGGAACATCCGGCCATTCACCATGGTCAAGATGGGAAAATATGAGGAAAAACATCAATCGAATTGGGATTTGTTGGGAAATTGTAATGAATGCGCAATTTGAGGTAGTTTGAAAATTGGGATATGGATGTGGCTCGAAATTTCTGTAACAATCAACCCACAGATTCGGTGATGCTCGAGCGTTGAACCATCCAACTTTTTTTTGTCAACATGTTTGAACAAATCCAAGATATCTATATATATCATATATGTGTGTGATCTATTTATATATCCCACATATGGATGCATATGGCTTATGTAAGGACTTCTATATGTGAAAGTGCCCAGCAAATATGGACCTAAAGAGTCTCCATTGGCTCCATACCGTCGGGGCCAACTGTGGGAATGTTCATCCACCGATTGTCCAATGGGTATTGACTCATCGCCCCATCGCTTTTTTGGTCATTTGAATGGCGTGGTCCAAAAAGTGGTGCACCTGAAAATAACACCTCATTGTCCCTTCAAAATGGCAGTGTCTTGGTAAAAAATTTGCCATTTCTGGACAGACCCACAAAGAAATTCTCCCATCCATTCTTATCTAGGATTTGAGTCATATGCATCCAGCAGCCCTTATATGATTTTCGTTGCTTATTAATTCATAAGTTGACTGTGCTCAGAACACAAAATCTTCATCAATTGGCTGGTTAAATGATTAATTTCCCCTATTCTTAACCATACCCACATGGGAGGTTCTTAATCATCCAAGTTAGTGTTTCAGAAACACAAAAACATCCCAACCAGCAACAAAAAAACATCAACTCTGGTGAAATCGCCCTCGAGCTTGACCCTCGCATCTGTGGTCCAGACTGGGGGGCTGCCGCTGTAGCTGTACCGGTCTGGTGCAGTGCTACTATGGTTCGACAAAAAAGGGAGAAACTACTTGAAAAAAAAAGTGATGGATGAAAACTATGTATACCTAATTCTACATAATTATATATATACATATGTATATATATATATTATATTATATATATATATATGCACAAGTATATCAAAATTGCAGAAATTAGATGAGACTTCTGCAGTTTGAAAAAAACCAAGATGAGTGATGATCCCACCGAAGCGCATCATCGATGTCTCAAGGGACGACTATGACGACTGGTGCAGCATCAAAATGTCAGGTTAATCAAGATATTCGTCTCATGCATTCTAAATTAATGGAAAAACTGGGTGTTTCACCAAAAAGCGAAATTGGTCTGGAGAACGCACGAGGTAAAGCCAATAACGAACCTCCAACTGGGGATAGTTACAACCCATTTTGGGCAAAATCAGGGGGATGGTTCATGGTTTAAGGGTTTACCACGTTACCACTGACGTGCTTCTTCATACGGTCCAAGATGACCCGTGTTGCACATATGCCTGGTTGCATGCATTTAGTTCTTTCTGCCAGCATCAAGCGCTCTATCCGCTCTATCCGCTCTATCCTCTATGTTGGCAGAACTACATTTGATAGCTTGACATCCTTAACTCTTTCGGTGCCAAAATGTCATGTGCTACAAACCCAGCTCATTGGTGACGCATTTGCCATTTGTGGCTCCATCAACCCACAGTTTGATCAATTTTCCAACCTGTTGCTTGGAATAGGGTTCAAAATCTTCACCGAGATCCACGTTATTGTCGCGATGTTGTCTGAAACAATGCTTAACCATCCATGTTTCATGTGTGGTTTTCATGTTTACTGTTAAAACCATCTCAAAATCTGGTTGAAAATCAAGGAACCGATTTGCTACCATGTATTGTATCATTTACCATTGCTTGTGAACAATGGGGGTCGCAAAGTCACACTTACCATCTGTGTCAATTCATCCGAAACGAGTGACTAACCAACCAGGCTTAAACATCGTATTGTCGTTTGTTTATATATACTACATTATATCCCCAGAAAATGCATATGACAGTAATCATCAACCAACTACCGAGTAGGTTCTTTGAAACTACCACTAAATGGGTTGGTAGTAACTTAGTAATTCATCACCTAGATGGTAGCATAATCATCTAAATGCTAGTAAGCATCGACCAAGAAATTGTAGTAATCATCTATCAACTGGGTAGGGTTTTTTGAAACAGCCAATCCCCATTCATCCAAAAAATAACTCCAAATTCCCTATCAAGCCAGAATGAATCCTCATCTCCGCAATCTGAATCGTATATCATCGTATATCCCTATTTCTTCGTTGGTGAAAGCCGTTAAGAAGGGAGTTCCATGATATCCCCAAGAACGGTTAGTAAAGCTAACAAAACACCATCCCCAATAGAGGTTTACTACGTATTGTGTTTTATGATTGGCTACAGCCCTTGTGACTGGGATGCTTAAAATGACTAATCTGATCTCCAAAAGTCATGGGAATCCCTATGGGACTCCCTGTTCAAGTCCGTGGCTTTAGAGCCACCGAAAATGTGGGATGATGTAAAATGTCCCCCCAGTGGTTAGGTTATGGGATGGTTTCTTGAAGTCTATTCTTGGTTTTACCCTAAGTCATATTCTAGCTATAGGCCAATATGAATCATAAACCGCTCAATAGTTGGTTAGAGTTAACCCCCCAATAAACCCTAATGGTTAGTGTTATCCATGACTTTTACCCTTTTAAACATGGCATCAGGGTCGAATCATCGCTTTTGATATGATCCAACGACACGAGGATAGCCGTCTCAACAATGGATGAAAATACCGGACGTTTTCGGCATCTTTTTGGGGGGCTACTGTATATATATATAATGTGGCATCCCCAAGTCATCACCCTTTTTGATTGGCAGTCATTGGCAGATTTCCACATGAAGTATGATTAAGTGTATCATGGATAGTAATTTCTTGGGATATCATGGGATATATCCCTAGTTCTGATGGCGAAATCACTTCAATCCCCAAGAAAGCGTCCCAAGGCGTTTCCCAGGCCTCATGGGGCGCTGGCGGCCCCGAGGCCCGCGCCCCACCGGCGCCGGCGTCGGCGCCCGCGTCGGTCATGGGGACCTTATGCGACACACGCGATCGCTGGGGATTTGGGGATGATTTAAAACCAGAATTGTGGAGTATAAAAGGAACCATCTAGTTTGATTTATGGACCATTTTTGGATGTTCATCCAGTTTTGAATGGTTTTGACTGGTGTTGACTCATGTGTTTGAGATAACGAGTCAATCGGTGGTGGACTTCTTTGAATCCACCATCTTTTAAAAAAGCTCAACGTTGGCGAGTTGGCGGGTGAAAACCGACCCCTAAGTTGTGTTGTTTTGTCCAACCGATCAGAGCCGGAGTTCTTTTTGAAGCAATGGAAGGAAATTGTGGATGATTGATACCCTCTGGTAAACTAACATAGCTATAGAAAATCACCATTTTTAATGGGAAAATCCACTATTTCTATGGCCATTTTCAATAGCTACGTTAGTTTACCAGAGGGTAGTTTTCACAAAGGCCAGACAACGAGTAGTTTCTGAGTAGATACTTCCGAAAAGAACCCTGTATTATTTGTTCGAGAGCTCATGTCCAAATGCTCTGCCGCTGGTTTCAATTAGTTTCATCCACATAGGAGCCATTGAGGGGCAAATGATGGCAGAATATGGCAGACCACCCATGGTTCCTGGTGGTTCACCAGGATTCAGGTCTTTGTCCACCACGGCGGGATGAACCACAACTTCCCGGGGATGTGTCAAAACCGGCTCCAACAAAAAAGAGAACCAGGGGAAGTTTTTTTGGATGATCATCCACCCATACCACATCATATCACCTTTCTTTTGGGGCGGTTGTCTGTTTCCAAAAAGCCACAATCCGTCCACAATCCCCAAGGTTGATCCATCTCCCCAGCGGGCTGGGCCTCACCATGACCGCGCTTTCGCGCGCGGCTTGGGGATCAACCCCGCGAAGAAAAAATCCCAAGAAATTTGGTCGACCGGGGTCAGCGTCACAAACTCATCCTGAATCAATGGCTATTGGCTAAGAAATCTCACTGAACCAAACAAATGTTCAAACAATGGATGCTGGGGGGAGCCTCAACATGACCATCCTCAGCTGTTGCTGTTCGTTTTTCTGGCTTCAAGTTTGCTATCTGATTCACATGTCTAAGGGTTTTAAGTGTGTTACGCACGGCTCCCTGGTGCCATGGTGGTGTAGATGCGGACCCTCAGGCCGTGCTGAAGCCGTCAAATCCAACGGGGGGATCATCTCAGCTCTGGGCGGATCATATCCCATTTGAATGGGAGATTGGCATCATGTTCTTTAGAAATATTAAGAATATTGGTATGATGAGAATATCCCATTTGTTCTCGGAATACAATATTATATATATATACATATGTATATATATATGTATATATATGCATATATCAAGAAAATAGTAGTCATCATCATAGTAATATATATATGATAATACCAAAAACACTAATCACTAATAATTAATAACTACTATTACCAATGATACATAATAAGGATACTAATAATGATAATAAATGATAGTAAGTGGTAATAATACAAATTTACGACAAACGGTACACCAACTTCTACCCAAAGGATCAGTTTCCACCATTTCTTGCGCCATGATTGCTGTGTTTGGCCGCTGCGCTCTTCGCAGAGTGCCAAGCAATGAGATCGGATGCACCCGAAGCCGAAAAAACAAAAGAACGGTATAGCAATCTAACTTGGTAATGAGGTAAACGTCATGATAATGGTATGGGATAGTCTTATGGCATTGGGTTTACCACATTCACGGAAAATCCTCACAGAAAAAATCCCCATCTTTTCCCATGAAAGTCATCACGGCTGCTCGATCCCCAAGGCGGTGCCTCACAGATCAGCAAAAGGCTGTGGAGTTCATCAGATCTAACCTAACCAGCAATTTCGCTTGAGAGTTTGAGTTACATGGCTTTTGGATAGTTCATATTATCTGGTTGGTGGTGCGATAACCATCTTGAAAAATATGAAAGTCAATGGGAAGGATGACAACCCATATATTATGGAAAATCAAAAAAGTTTGAAACCACCTACCAGTTATACATTTGGGGATTTCCTAAAATGGGGGTACCCCCAAATCATCAATTTTAATAGGATAGTTCTGATAGTTCATATGAGTTTCATACGATGTTTTTAGTAAAACCAATTCACCAAACCACGAGTTCATGAGGAAAAACTCTCCAAAACCTGGGAACTTGGGAGAGCTGACCCCACCATTCGGCGGTAATCCAGCGGCAGAAACACTGGCGATCCAGTGGTGCATTGATCGCTCACCCAAAGCACTCAACTGTAGACATGTTGCACATGGTTTTGACTGAAAAATATCGTACAGTACTCCTAATTCCAATGGATTATCAACATGCTCCATCATTTTCCCATCATTTTCCCATCCTTTTCCCATCATTTTCTCATCATTTGAATGGCTATGTGTGGATATCTCCCTGCCCTCAGACCCCCACATCACTAGCAGCTTCAACTCACCCGCCTAAGTAGGCCCGCACCGTGAAATCTTCGGTGGATCCGTAGAGGCCTCTCCATTGAAGTGGCATTCCGCGATTTACCATGGCGGGCATCGATGATTTACCAGGGATTTACCTATTCAAAATGATAATGATAATGATAATGATAATAGTGATGATGATGATAATAGTGATGATGATGATAATAGTGATGATTATGATAATAGTGATGATTATGATGATGATGATGATGATGATGGTGATGGTGATGGTGATGGTGATGGTGGTGATGATGGTGGTGATGATGGTGATCATGATCATGATCATGATCATGATCATGATCATGATGATCATGATGATCATGATGATCATGATGATCATGATGATGATGATGATGGATGATGGATGATGGATGATGGATGATGGATGATGGATGATGGATGATGGATGATGGATGATGGATGATGGATGATGGATGATGATGATGATGATGATGATGATGATGATGATGATGATGATGATGATGATGATGATGATGATGATGATGATGATGACGATGATCATGATCATGATGATCATGATGATCATGATGATCATGATGATCATGATGATCATGATGATCATGATGATCATGATGATCATGATGATCATGATGATCATGATGATCATGATGATCATGATGATCCATGATGATCCATGATGATCCATGATGATCATGATCATGATCATGATGATCATGATGATGGTGATCTGGCCCATTACTATGTTAAATGGCCGGTTACCTATAGAAGATGGTGATTGTTCATAACTATGTTGTATGACCGGAGGGTGATCATCATAGAATCCGAGTTCTATAATTACCATTTTGATCCATTTTGGGGATGTCTCACATTTTGAGACAAACCCATATATGACTGGGGTCGTCCCTTTTGTGAGTGACTGTGCGACTCTATTTTGTCTCGCATATGGGATGCACATCCAATCGGACAACGTAAACCTTCACTATGCGGCGGAGTAAATGGCCCCAACCGCGAAACCCGGGTAGCTGAAGGAACAGCTACAAGCAGAGTCCGCAGATGTCCGCAGAGTCCGCTGTTCTCTTTCGATGTTTCAAAGTGGCAAGTCAGTGGCAAGTCAGACTGAGTACCCAAAAAAATCGTTGGAGTTTACATTCCACAATTGACCAGGAACCATCTGTGCTTCCCAACGGGATGTTGTTTTTTGAAAAAAAACGATCCCCATGGATCGATTTCTTTCATCTCCATCTTTTCTGATGAATATCCCCATAATTTTCATTCTACTCGTTGATATAATGATAATCAATATACTATAATATACTCATGTATTGTCCTGGCTGAATTGAAATAATTCACCCTCCTTGAGTAAGCTGATTTGGCGGTTCCGCTTGCTAAGCATCATTTCCAGTAGTGAGGTCGCAAGCCGGCTGAATGGATCAGTTGAAAGCCCATTAAATGCCCAATGCTATTGTTTTAATCCCTCTGTGTCTATGTTAACCATGTCAAAGCCAATTTGTTGCTTGATATCCCCCATGTTTCCGACAAATTTCTTGCCTAAGATCTACTATCCAAATCCCACAGAATCGGTAGAAAAGTATACCCTCTGGTTATTTAACATAGCCATGGAAAATGGCCCATTTTTTATAGGTAAACCATCTATAAATAGGTGGTTTTCCATGGCTATGTTAAATAACCAGAGGGTATAATATATCATTAATTTCATGTTTTTCAAGCTTTTACCGGCTAATAAACAATCACCAATGTGGTTTTTAAAGGATGTAGCCCGGCTGGACTGGGGGGATGATTTGTCATGGCGCCCCTTTGGGATGGTGGTTTATTAATTGTTGGGTTTACCACATGAAATACCATTAACCCCAATATCGTGAACAATCCCAACTCAGATGGCTTTATCCTCTTGAATCTCTAGACTCTTATCTCCAATTCAAAAAATAATATGGAATAATATGGAATAATCATCCCATTCACCATCCCATTCATCATCATTGACCCTATACCTCCCAAGTCTGGCCTTCCCAACCCCCCCGCCCCCGCCACCTTTGAGACCAATCACTTCCAAGTTGGCGCTGCGTCCGGAGCTCACCCCCAGGTTCGCCAGGCACCTCATAAAAAATACCATGGTGGATGTAGAGGACGAAAACCAGAAGTTCCACATATGGGGGAAAAAAACACCCCTCAGGTGTGGTTAATATATGTTAATATGGAGGTTTCCTGAAATGGGGGTACCCCCAAGTCATCCATTTTAGTAGGATTTTCCATTATAAACCATCCATTTTGGGGTATCTCCATTTCAGGAAGACCCCATATGAATTGAGGGGATTCTGAATGGATTGGTTTTCCGAAAATCGGAAACTGGCGGCTTTCTGTCAGGTTTTGGCGATCAGAAAGGCTCATGGCCGTATCGAAGGGTAGGGAGGCAATCCTGAACCAATGCTTCAAGGCTTTCAACCCCACCAATATATATATATATATATATGTGTGTGTGTATGTCTGTATGTCTGTATGTAAGTATGTATGTACGTACGTACGTATGTATGTATGCATGTAAGTAAGTAAGTATGTAAGTAAGTAAGCAAGCAAGCAGGCATGTAGGTAGGTAGGTATCTATGTATCTATGTAACTATGTATCTATGTATGTATGGCATTATATGAGATGATGTGGATGACCTGCATGACGTGGATGATATGAGATGATCCAAGCGACATTCATGTGGAGCAGAGATGAATACCATATATAACCTATGGTCTGGGGATTTACAGTGCATAAATATATGTACAATGTACATCTTTAAATATATAAACATACATACATACTTGTATATACATATATATATATTATCAAAATGAGATAAAATGAGTGCAAGCAAAGCGATCTATTTTCGCGGCCCGGCACCAAAGTGAAACAGGGCCTGCTAGCCGCTCGTTGTATGGCCAGAGCGTCTGAACCTGGCGATGCGGCGGCAGTTGAAGTCGCCAAACTTTAAAGGAGTGCTATATTAGTTTTTCTGAGTACTGAAATATACTAAAATAATCTAAAAGATACTAAAATAATGTTTACTATGGTTAGTCACTACTATTGAGTACTATCATATCATTAAATTATTAGTGTTATGTTGTTTCTATCATGCTTTTCGATATTAGCATTACTATTTATGAATACTACGATTTCCAGCTTAGCAGCTTGGACGTTGCTGGTTTTGTTACTAGCAACCCACCAGAATCATCTTCACAGATCCATAGCCATGAAGGGGGGAGTCACAATCCATGCTGGTGGGACCCCAGTCGCAAATTGTCATCCAAGTTCTTGGTCGTAGCAAAAACAAACACCCAAGTCTGACTGTTTGATCTTCAGCTGCACGCGGCAACTAAATGACCAAATGTTCAAAGTGAAGCCAGACATGTCAGAAAGGATGACTCTCCCATGCGAGATTGCCAGAGCCCTCACGATTTGATTCTGAGTTAGAATGTGTAGCTCAAACATGATAAAATGATATGGGTCGACCTTTCAAAAAGTGCTCCTCCCAAGAGTCAGAGGTAGACAGAATTATTAAATGTTGTTGTCTCCATTGGTGAGTCAAAGAATCAAACCTGGCAACAGAAACTCCCTGAAAATCAAAAAAACTGGTATCCATGGATCGGTTCCCAAAGTTTGCCAATTGAAACTGGGGGTCCAGTAACATCCAGCCACATCATCCGCGCCTTTGCAGCTCTCTGGCCTTGAATGGAACTCAGGGTGGACTGGAGGTCACTACCCAGGCCGGAAAAAACATGGCGGATGTAGGGAATAAAACCAGATCTTTGGAAGCATTTGGGATGTGTCTAGGGGGAAGGAATGATCCGCACTGGATTTTCCACAGTTGGGCTTCATCCCGGTCTTGATCCAATGAGGAGTGCATCCTCATTCTCGTTGTAGAATGCTCGTGCATCCTCATTCTCCCTCCAAAAAAAGCAAACGATGGGACCTACCCGGCCCGAAAATCTATATAAGGGATGGCAGAAGCGAGCTTCCAGGGTGGTTTCAGGAAATGGAAGACACCAAGAAGTGATTAAAATTGGGATATAGAAGCCATTAAAGAAATATTACGACAAAAAAAAGTGGGGATATGACCTCCAGTCTCAAGATGTATTGAGTGTACAAATATCCAAAGTGAAATCTCATAACATCCACAGCCCCCTTGGAGGTCGCGTCTAAGAGTCAGCAAGCTGAGCCACTGTAAACAGCAATGCACCAAGAACTTTGTCAAGGACTGCTGATTGGCCAAGTAGACCCGGAAGTCCTGCCACAAATGACTGGCGCCATGGCAGGACTTTCTCCGGTAAGAAAATCACAAGGGTAAGACTTGCTAGTCGCCTCCCTCCAATTCATTGTCTGTCTCTGAGAATTGACAAATTTCTGGGTCAAAATTTTGGACCAACCTACCCAAATCGCCCACTGAGGTGCAAAAGGAGTTCTATCTCCTCCACAGGGCCCCAGGCCCCAAGCTGGACACTCTTGTTTTGATGCAAAATTCAATGGTGTCATGTCCCTTTTTACCAAAAGAAAGGGGAAGAAATAGATGAGCAAATAGTAAATTTTCCCATGAAAAATGATGATTTTCCATAAGTTCCCAAAAGCCTCTGTCATTCCATGAAATGCTAACGGGATTCTGCAGAGTCCCCATCTCCAAGATAATTGGCCAGCTGTTTCCCGGACAAAAAGCGGAGTGGCTTTTCCCTCCTCCTTCAGCGCGGAGGTTCCCAGAACTTCCAGACCTTGGAAAATGAAGCAAGGCACTCTCGAGGTGGGAAAGGCTTGGGAGAGATTGTTGGGGACTGAGAGATTCTGAGATCCCAAGCCCTAGTGGCCCTAGTATCATACTGGTTGATCACCCAACAGTTGGGAAAAAAGAGGAGAATGACATCACCTTCTTACGGCTTCGGTGGGAAACTCTCCCGGAATCGTCGTTCGGCGAGGAGACCGAAAAGTTGGTCAGGTCAGGTGGACTGAAGCATCGAAGCCATGCCGAAGATTTCCCAAAAAAAATCCTGCCCCGTTATCCGTTTACCATTTAAATGGATTTAAGTGGTCTGAAAATCACGCGCCGTTTTCTTTCTAAAGGTCTAAGATTTCATGCGTCAGACATGTTTTTCTTTGGGAATAATCCTCGTCTAGCCCAGTGATAAGTGGTTCACAAGCCATATTAACCACTAACGCTCAATCTTAACATGGAACCCCAATGTCAGTTGGCTTTGGAAGATGATTTCGAACTTGGCTTGTGGCCAGTATGGCCAGAGCTATTGATTATGGCCATAAATATGGGCTTCCATACGGAACACTTGGTGGTGTACCCTCTGGTAAACTAACTTGAGAGGGGGAACGCGAAAGGTAGGTAAGCAAGAAAGGAACCGAAGAAAAAATGAAGGGGAGAGGGGAGGGAAAAATACATAAAGTGGAGTCTGGTAAAAGCGACGCGGCCATTTTCTTTCCAAAAATATGAAGGGGAGTCTGGTAAAAGCGACTGAAAGGCTTCGGCGATGTGGTTGGGGTTGGTGGTGGTTGTGGTGTTGGTGGTGTTGGTGGTGTTGGTGGTGCTGGTGGTGTTGGTGTTGTTGGTGTTGTTGGTATTGGTGTTGTTGGTGTTGTTGGTGGTGGTAGTGTTTCTGGTGTTGTTAGTGTTGTTAGTGTTGTTAGTGTTGTTGGTGTGGTTGGGTTTGTTGGTGGTGTTGGTGTTGTTGGTCGTGTTGTTGGTGTTGGTATTGTTCGTGTTCGTGTTGTTGTTGTTGTTGTTGCTGTTGTTGTTGCTGTTGTTGTGTTGTTGTCTGTTGTTGCTGCTGCTGCTGTTGATGGTGTTGTTGTGTGCTGTGTTGATGTGTTGTTGTTGTTGTTGTTGTGTGTTGTTGTGTGTTGTTGTGTGTTGTTGTGTGTTGTTGTGTGTTGTTGTGTGTTGTTGTGTGTTGTTGTGTGTTGTTGTGTTGTTGTGTGTTGTTGTGTGTTGTTGTGTGTTGTTGTGTGTTGTTGTGTGTTGTTGTGTGTTGTTGTGTGTTGTTGTGTGTTGTTGTGTGTTGTTGTGTGTGGTTGTGTGTTGTTGTGTGTTGTTGTGTGTTGTTGTGTGTTGTTGTGTGTTGTTGTGTGTTGTTGTGTGTTGTTGTGTGTTGTTGTGTGTTGTTGTGTGTTGTTGTGTGTTGTGTGTTGTTGTGTGTTGTTGTGTGTTGTTGTGTGTTGTTGTGTGTTGTTGTGTGTTGTTGTGTGTTGTTGTGTGTTGTTGTGTGTTGTTGTGTGTTGTTGTGTGTTGTTGTGTGTTGTTGTGTGTTGTGGTGTGTTGTTGTTGTGGTGTGTTGTTGTGTGTTGTTGTGTGTTGTGTGTGTTGTGTGTTGTTGTGTGTTGTTGTGTGTTGTTGTGTGTGTGTTGTGGTGTGTTGTGGTGTGTTGTTGTGTTGTTTGTGTTGTTGTGTGTGTTGTTGTGTGTTGTTGTGTGTTGTTGTGTGTTGTTGTGTGTTGTTGTTGTGTTGTTGTTGTTGTGTGTTGTGTGTGTTGTTGTGTGTTGTTGTGTGTTGTGGCGTTGTTGCGTTGTTGTGTTGTTGTTGCGTGTGTTGTTGTGTGTTGTTGTGTGTTGTGGTGTGTTGTTGTGTGTTGTTGTGTGTGTGTTGTTGTGTGTGGTTGTGTGTGTTGTGTGTGTGTGTGTGTGTTGTGTGTGTGTTGTGTGTGTTGTGTGTGTTGTGTGTGTTGTGTGTGTGTTGTGTGTTTTGTGTGTTGTGTGTTGTGCGTTGTGCGTTGTGCGTTGTGCGTTGTGCATTGTGCGTTGTGCGTTGTGCATTGTGCGTTGTGTGTTGGTGTTGTTGTTGTTGTTGTTGTCGTCGTTGTTGTTGTTGTTGCTGTTGCTGTTGCTGTTGGTGTTGTTGTTGTTGGTGTTGGTGTTACCCCTGCAGCGTTTTTGCTCGGTTCCGTAGTGGCCGAAAATCGTCAAATCGGTGGTGTTTTCGCGTGTTTTTGCAACTCTCGGAGCAAAAAACACCGTAAATACCGATGTTTTTGGCGGGTCGGAAGCCCAAAACCACGGTATTTACGATGTTTTTTGCCTCTGGTAGTAAAAAGCACGGTATTTACAGTGTTTTTTGGCCAGCACCTAGCAAAAACACTGGTATTTACGGAGGTTTCACCATGTAGCAAAATGTGGTTTCTTGATCCGAAAAGAACAAAAATACTGTAAATTACAATGTTTTGAGTCTGCTCTTAGGGTGCGTGGGAGGTGTGGAGGGGGGGGGGGGGGTTACTAAAATGACTAGCAATCTCCTGAAGAATCAGGTAACGGGGCTGGCCGCCCTCCCCTTTACTTCGTAAAGTAAAACTCAAGGTAGCCCCTCTGGAGCTACCTTTCGTGACATAGCTATGGAAAATCACAATCTTTGGTAAATTCACTATAAATGTGCCGTTTTCAATAGCGAACTGTTAGTCATTACCAAAGGGTACTACTTGGCACCAGTGGATCTTAAAGCGCCTCTGGACCCGACACAGCAAGGGATGCTTCGGCATCGCGGCCATCAGGGCCCCATTCACCGCCTTTGGAGAGAGAGCCACGCTGTGCGCCTGGCCATGGGTTTTAACATCTTTATCTCATCATCTTTGAATATCTTCGACAAATGTATGGAAAATGTATGGTGAAAATCTACGGAAATAAAAAAAACATGAATATATGGTTGATCGATGTTGATAGCGGTTTTAATCCCATGTAAAATATATCCGCTCTGGGTAAATGGCAAGGTAAATAAGGCCCATCCCATTCCTCGCAATATAAACATGAGTCCAGGGTTCGGTCACGGCGTGAGGTCACTATAATTCACCCAGATGGATCAACGTTACGGCGATGTGGGCACCTGGGATCTATGGCCTATGGACCTATAAACCTCCGACTTGGGGATGGTGTCTGAAATTAGGGATGGCTGCACTCGGTTTACCTCATTAATAGACTCATGAAAAAACATCTTTTTGACTGGGTGAATTTGCTGCTACCCTTGGAACAATAGTTGTTACAATGGAATCGGGATAGCTCCACTACAAGTCCTAGAATTGCATGGACAGCAACCTGAAGCTATCTAATTAAATGCGGTAAACTGGGTAAACCCAAAAACCTCAAACAAAAAAAGGTTTGTCTTGGCGACCTCCAAGTTTCTGTCGATCACCTCCCATTCGGCGCCTTGCGGCCTGGATCCAAGACCTTCCGCAGAAGTTGCAAGACAAAGGCCTGCGGGAGATGGGATCTGACAAATGTCCCAAAGATTCAACTTATAACTTGTTTGATGTGTTTGTACATGATTTTCTGGGATGAGCGCTGATTTCAACAAAAAGCATCTGAAACCTCCATTTAAAAAAAAAAGTTTCCCAAGTCAGGCTGACATTGTTTAAAATGATATATGATATAGGAGAAAACTGGTGTTTTGCAATGGCAAAAAGCTTGGTTGAAAATGTTTAATGGGACTCACCGGCCATCAACACCATCACGGTTTCCATGTCCTGCAACTCCATAGGAACCGATGAATCTTGGAGAGATGCCTTGGGTCGAGGTACCACTTTGGAGCAACACATCTGGTCATTTTGGGATTAAGTCATCTTTTGGCCAGGCTACCAATGAGATAGATTCAGATAGATTAGATATATATTATATAATATTATATAATTATAGTATTGCAAGAAATTGAAAGATACAAGCTTGGCAAGCTGGTTTCAACCGTCATTGGAGATCATAAGATCATCCCCGGTAGCGAATTGGACATTAATACTACTATCTTAGACTTTCAGCTGCCAACGAGCTTTTGTCCGTCAACATGGCTTCTGATCAACGCATGTTCGGGATCAAAAAATGGAAAGCACATATTATTTGATTCACATGATACCATAATTTCACCGAATTTCACCTAATATTTGATAGCATAAGTTCACCAAATGTTCACATGAAACACCTTTTGGATACTCTGGATCACAACAACCATAGTACCCTCCCTGATGGGACCATCCTGCCATGGAAAACACCAAGCCCCTGGCCAAGAGGGCCCTTGCATCCGAGGACGTGGCCTGATCGGTGGCTGGGACGATGGAATGCTAGACCATCTTTACCAGGGAGGTCATGGGAAGATGTTCTGGAAATAGCTTGGAAATGGTGATTTCACGTTATTTCCCAACATGTTCCCAACATTTTCCCATTTTTCCCAACATTGTTTGTTCCCAACATTTTCCAAGGATGATACATTTGGGGGGGAACCTGGGCTCTGGAGGCAATGCCCCGCCTGCGAGGAGTGGAAAGCCTCTTCCAGCAACTCTAAAACGGCTGGCCTAGCGAAGGGTGACCGGCTTGCAACCCCCAGAAACCTAAAAAAAGGCCCCGTGGGCGAAATTAACCGAGGATCAAAAAGAGGAACCACCGTTTTTCATGATCAGAACCATTTGAAAATCCAGTTTTGGGATGTTTTGGGGGTTGAATTCTCATGGTTCCAGCCTCATGGTCGCAGGTACATACGGCCAGCAGGAAGGCAAGGCCTGTGATAGTTGCAGCAATCCCATTAGAAAGCAAAACGATGATCCTGGATAAGAAAACCAAAAAAGAGTTGAAAGAGCAAACATGATTTTGGAACCATTGAAATGAATGGTTCATATATATATATATATACTATCATATGTATGTATATATACACTTAAATTTCCTCCAAACAATGCGACTCTAGCGGGTCATTCGCCAAACTTTGTCTTGGCTGCAATAGCACACAACCTCCAAAGCATCGCAGAGCCGCAAGTACTTGCCTTGGCTGAAGGATAGTGGGAAAAAAAGGCCAGGTTTGGTTGGTTTTCCCAGGAATTACTGTGGTGAAGTCAACTTTAACCAAAAGAAAACTGAACCATAGCTACTTTTACCGCCTGCTTTTGATTTACCCTCTGGTAAACTAACATAGCTATTGAAAATGGCAATTTATAGTTGATTTTCCCAATAAAACTGGTGATTTTCCATAGTTATGTTAGTTTACCAGAGGGTAGTCACCTTTAAAGTTGATGAACTTTGGGCGTTGCCATTCGGTTTACTGCACAAAATCAGATATCAAAGCAATGTCACAGGACAGTTGATCCCCTGAGTGACCTATACCAAGCCAACATTTGGTTTGGCGAAGATTGTAAGTCACTGAACATCAGCAAACATTATGTGTATATATATAATAATAATATAATTAATATATAATTATATGTATATATGTATATGTGCATGAGTTGTCCCCAAAGCCAGGGATCGCACAATCCCACACTCCCCCCACAACCAACCCCCTCAGTTCGGAGACCCAAATCAGAGATGGTTAGGATTCGCCCCATTCTCCACCAGGATCACCAGGTTGCTAAGCAGCTGTGCGAAGATGCTCTTAGCTTTCGGATGACCTGAGGCCGTCCCCATATATTTTTCGGCAGGGTGAACTGAGATGCCGCCCCAGTCAGGATCAGAAAACTTTTTTGTAGTGGCCCCGCCTGACCCCGCAACACATTTAGCTTCATTCTCCACTATCCAAGGTGATAACCCAGCTTGTGAGGCCAAAAAAAAAACAAGAAAGAGGGAACGCGGTGGGGGTGGGCCTCTGAGATATGTAATCGGTTTGCAACTAGGCCAAGGTCTATGGTGGATATCTCAACAGTTGGATAGGTGAAAATCAAATTTAGAAGTGCTGGGCCCTACTTATGTACAGGTAAAAGAAATTATGGGCGAAATCATGCGAAATCCAAATAACATGTGGTTTGTATCCCCATTCATCATTCGCTAGATACAAAACAAGCCCATTCAGAAACGTCGTCCCCATCGCCCCTTCCCCTCATGGTTCGCCTGCAAATCTTCCCAAGATCACGTTGAGATGTGAAAGATAGGACCTCCAGACGGAGCCTAATTTATGGCAATGTTCATGTGGAATATGATGAAAGTCATAATTTCGGGACATTTCCCTGATTTCCACTGACCAAAAATCCTCATTTGGGGCTCATTGGCTTATTCTTTGGTTTTTGTGGAGAAATGAAATATCCAGTGGATTGGGCCCCTATCGGACCCTGTACGGTTGAGATTGACAGATACCATGACAGATTCATGTTCTCGTGTCTATCAGAACAGCGAAGCACAGTTTGGTGGTGTCAAATTTGGTTGCCCGCAAAAATTTTCTGAAACGACCGGAATCTCTGGCTTCAGACAGGGTCTGAATTCAAATCATCTTTTGTTGGTGGAAACCCTATGTTTTCATGTTGACCAGGAATTCCCACCAACCTGTTCATAAGTGATACCCTAATTTGGTTGGCTACAGCGTCTCCGAATTGAGCGGCTTGGCGGTAGTAGCTATGGTCCCTCAAGAGAATCCGCCCAACTATAGTACCCACAGTTCTTCAATGTTGACTGGTCTCTTTTTTACTCCATTCAGAAAGATCAACCATCCCTGGATGCAAACAGCTTCAAAATTCATGACGTGGCCTATGAAAAGCCGTTTGTCGTTCCAAAATCCTCATGTCTGGGTCGTCGTCATCATCATTCCATGCATCTCGTGGCCAGGAATCAGGATATAACTTAAAACCATGGCCATAGACCCACCTATGAAGTGGAACAGGACCCAGTACATCCCATTACATCCCCATTACATCAAATTACCATTATATCCCTGTACATCCCCATTACATCCCACTAAATCCACATTCACAATGTACCATCTCATATCCCCAGTACCACAAAATTCACATAAAATATCCCAACATATCTCAATGATATTCCCACTGCGCGATGATCTGGAAAAGTTTGATCCATCTGGGGGGCTTCTTAAGTCATAGGGGTTCCCCAAGTCACCTACCAGGTGCCAATATGGTCATCCATGACGACTGGATGATTTGGGGATAATTCCCATATGACCTCATGAAAGCTCCATCGGTTTTCCATTTATTCACCATTTATTCCCCATTTAATCACCGAGGCTCCACCGACCTCTGCCGCTTCAGCCCCACTGCCGCCAGCTCCGCGGCACCCGAGTCACTGGCCAACTCGCACAGGGCCACCTGGTGATGGATGACCAACCAAGCCTTTGAAAAAAAATAGGGAAATTGACAAATGCTGGTTGGTGGTTTCTGTTCGCGACAGGTTCACCCGGGTAATATTATCGGGGGTACTAGCACTGACAGTCCTGACACGTCTTCGGCCAGAAAAGCCAGGTACTAGTCCACACCTCAAACTCCTTGCGTTAGACACACAAAGTCCTCCACGGTCAGACAAGTGGTCCTGCGCTTTTAACTCTCTTTCCAAAGTCCTTCACGTTGGACTCACCGGTCTTTTCCGACCGATCTTTGAGCTTGGAAAAAAGGGCTATGGTGAAATGCCCATTGATTGAAATGACAATTGCAAAGTCATGACATGAATGCTAAATAGGGAATATGCAATTCGCACACCCCCTGACTGTGTTTCGCTAGAGGCACAGTCACACGAAAAAAGCAAAATATATCTCACACCATCTACACGACAGTGTTACATTCAAAGCTCAAGCCCTCTCTCAGATGTTCTTTTTCCGCTCTTCTTTTCCAAAATTTTTTCACTTTGCATGTCATCGCACCTTTTTTCACTTTTCGCTTTCATTTGGCCTCGCACACCAATTACACGGCTGATACGCAATGGAATATCCATGCATTTTTTCGCAGTGAGTCACATCGGTGTGCTGGGGTCCATTCAATCCAGCTCCATACATGTCTCTCCCTCGAGGATGCCATCCGCGAAGTTGAGGAAAACACTGCTCACAGATATCGGTGTGTCGTACCATCTGTGAATTTCTCAACCCATAGCAATCCTTTCGGAAGTGATATTTCTTTCCAAGGCCTGTAAAGTACAGGTCAATCGATGGGTCAGCACTGGAAGATGGATCCGCAGGGATCTGAGCACCAGTGCTGGTGGATGAGGAAGCTGCAACTTTTGGCTCGGCTGCAGCATGGTTGGTTCTGATCTGCGTCATCCCTGTTGAGGTCGTTTCATTTGGCTTCTTTTCATCACCTTTCTTTCCTTTTGACTTTGATTGCAAAACTTTTGGTGGCGGAGCAACTTCTTTCTTTTCTGCTGCCGCCTTGGGAATCGCTGGTTCTTGGATTCCTGCAGAGGCTGTTTGATCTTCTGGTAGCGGAGCTTCCAGTTTTGAAGCTGGTTGGCCATAAGTGTTCTTCTGTCCGTCCTGTTTGGACGCAGAAGACTGGCCCATACTTTTGGCTCTTTTTACAGCCTTTGGTGTTTCTTCCTTTTCTTCTTTTAGTGGTGGGCCACTTCGCCTGGGGAGTTCGTCCCGAGATTGGTCTCCTCCACCAAATCCCAGAACCGTCTCACCCGGCGGGGAGGTTGGACAATCGGTCTGTGACGCTAGACCCGACGTCCTGGCACTCCCAGATGGTTGGCCGCTTCGCCTGGGGAGTTCGTCCCGAGATTGGTCTCCTCTACCAAATCCCAGAACCGTCTCACCCGGCAGGGAGGTTGGACCACCAGTCTGTGACGTCAGACCTGATGTCCTGGCACTCCCGAGCAACTGACTGCTTCCCCTGGGGAGTTCGTCCCGAGATTGGTCTCCTCCACCGAATCCCAGAACCGTCTCACCCGGGACGGAGGTTGGACCATCGGTCATCAGACCCGATGTCCTGGCACTCCGTTGAGCGAGTTCGCCGCGGGATCGATCTGATCCCACAGCCGTCTCAGCCCTGAGCAGTCGTCGCTGCCAGCCGCTTTGAATGGCCAACGTGACCAACACCACCACTATTGTATATACCATCATCATGTCAAAGAAGATGGATGATTCCTCTCCTGCATCTCCATCTTCATCTTCGGCCTTCGCTCGGCTGAGCATGGCCATGATCATCGCCATCCTGACCATATCTTTTGGGGACTTTATCCCTCCTTTCGCTTCTTTCGTCTCTATGGCCGGCTCTCTCACCACGCCATTCTCTTCTTTTTCTTCGGTAGGCCCTCTCACCACACCGAGATCTTCCTTTTCTTTTTCTGTTTTGATCTTTCTATCTGTCATGCCCATGGCTTTCTTCAGCTCCTCCAACTTCAATGCCGCCAAAGCTTTGGTGCCCAGGTCGGCGATCATGCCGTTGCCTGGAGTGTGTCGGAGGATGACATCTCCACTCAGCACCCGCCATCTCATGTAGCGAGCCCTCTTTCTCAAGTGGCGCGTCCTCCAGGACGCACTGTCGCCTCCAACTATGGCGATGGCTGAGGCAGAATCCGAGTACTGCCAACATCGCACTGCCTTTTCCAAAATTTCTTCCACCACTACTCGGACTGCCTCTGCCAAAACTCCTCCTTCCAAAATCTCCAACAGCTCCGACTCTGCCGTAGAGGCGGTTTGAAGTTGTTGGCGCGAGCTTCGCCACAAAATTGGAGCTCCCAGCCACATCACCACTGAACATCCGTGGCCTTCATTTCCATAGGCCGCGTCAGTGTAGACCAGGAGGTCTAGGCAACCATCTTCGTTTCCTCCAAAGCGAATCCCTTCTTGGATGGAATTCGCAAGGTATTTCCAGATCTGAGGCGCTGCAGCAATGACCTTGGAAGGTCGTCTGGTGGTCCATCTGGAAATTCTGGACATGACGTACATGATGTCGGGGCGACACCTGGTCACCAGCCAGGTCAGCTCACCTACGATTCTCTGTGCTTCTCGAACCTTTTCCACTGTCTTTTCTGCATCCTCCTCACCATCACTATCCAAACTTCCATCCTCCTTTGACATGGGAATCTTCTTCAATCCCCACTTCTCTCTGTCCATCCCCATGTTCTTCTGCAAGAGATCCAAAGTGTAGGAGTGTTGAGTGGCGCACCACACTCCATTTTGATCTCGAGACAACTCCATACCCAAAAACCGGGTGGTTTGCTGACAGCCCACCTTCTCAGGGACGGAGGTTTCCCACTTGGATTGGATGCAGCTGATCCAAGCTTCTGCAGTCTCCTCTGAGGCAAGGACCAAAATGTCATCAACATAGGTGAGCATGAGCCCTTGCAATTCGCCAGTCTCTTCTTGGCGGATGGCCCATGTGCTCGGCTCTGATTCAAGCTGATGCAGCCTCATCTTTCCAACTCTCATCTTTTCCATCTCCTCATCTCTATAATCCTTCCAGAGTTTCGGAGACCTCCGGAAGCCATAAAGAGCTCGCAAAACCTCCCAGAGCTGATAGGGAGGAAAGTAGCCAAGTTTGACCAAAATTGGTGGTGGCCCAAGAAGCATTGGCAGCGGAGCTTCTTCGCCTTCTTCTTCAAAAAACCAATCTTCACCCCCCTTTTCATGTTTCCAGGGAGCGTTCAAAAAGGCGGTGCGAATGTCCACATTGATTCCGCACCATTTGCGAACTGTGGCCAGAGCAAGTGCCAGCCTGAGGGCGGCAGCATCTGCTCCTGCCGCAAAACAGTTTTCATCTCCACCCACATTCTCACAGTTGCCACATGCAACTATGCGGCATTTTCGCTTTCCCCGACGATCAGTCGGGTCGGGCTTCACCGTAAATACGGTCTTGGAAGGTAGTGGAATCGCTCCTCTTTCTTTGAGATACTTGTCGCTCTCCTCTTTCGTCAAGAGCTTCAACGCTTTCTTTTCTGAGAAGAGTGAAGTGATCTCATTGGAAATGGCCTGATGCCAAAGGTCTTTCTTCTTTACCACCTCAGCAGTGCCCACAATTTTCGTTTGGAGCACTTCTCCTTCATCTTCTTGATCCATCTCTTGCATGGCTTTCACCCCCCTGAGTACGGCCTCAACAACCTCTTCATCATCATAGAAGGCATGTTCTGCCTCTTCCTGTATCACCTTTTCCCGCTTCAGCCTGTCTTGCCTGCTTTCTTCATCTTTCTCCTCTTGTACCTTTCTGATCATGGCTTTTCCTCGAATTCTCCTTCGAAGATCCAAGGGAGTCAGATTGTCTTCTAAGGCAATCCACGTGTCCTCAGTGACTGGCTCCACGGTGTTGGTGATGACAGCCCTGGTCAAGGTTTGTGTGTTGTCTGAGCGAAGTACCCAATGCCCATAGTTCCGCCAGGATGGGGCGAGGTAGTGAACCTCTTCGTTGTTGGGTTCCATGTCCTTTGTGCGCCAATACCTTCTTCTGATCAGCACTTTGGACATGAACGGTGGGATGGCCCCAATGGCCTCTGTTCTGTTTCTCTTCCATACTTCATTGAGATATCGAACAGCAATCGGCCACCATTCGATACCCACCTTACCATAGGCACGGCCATACGGTCCTCACACGGACGGTTGCGAACGGTTGCGAACGGTTGCGACCGTGAACGCAACGTCGAGCGAACACACCCTCAACCCCCAGACCCCCAGAGTGAAACGGGAACCCTTGCTACGCATTCGGGAAAAACGAGTAGTTCAGTTATGCATGCCCCTATCAAGCAATCGCCCCGAATCAAGACCCGTCCCCACATAATGGAAATTAATTACTCTATCTTTTCTCCAATCAGAAAATCATCCATATGTTCAAACCCAAGTTTCATCAAGTGTTTGTCATCTTGCTTGGCTGGAAGGTTCTGCTTTCCTTTTGGGGATTGCTGTCCCTGCTTCCGAAGTCAGCCATCATCTTATAATATATATATATATATATACATTATATATATACATTATATATATATTATATATATACACATATAATATATATATAATATATATACATATAATATATATGATATATATATTATATATATATATATAATATATATATAAAGATATATATATATATATAATATCATATATATTATATGTATATTATATATATATATCAAGTCTGTCCCAGCATCCCAGCGCCTCCAACAAGGGACCCAAGACATCACCTGGACAATGGAGTACAGGGTTGTTTGGAGTACCCTCTGGTAATTTAACATAACTTTTGAAAATGGCCATAGAAATAGTTGATTTACCCATTAAACATGGTTATTTTCCATAGCAATGTGGCTGTTTACCAGAGGGTAGCATCAGTGAATCTGTGGATTGCGAAGAAAGACATGTTGTTGAAACTGGAAATGTTAAGGTCAAAATACCCTCCGCGAATCAAACGTAGCAATGGGAAATGCCCTATCAACGGTTTGGTTTCTGGGAAAATCATCTCTCATAAATGGAGGATTTTCCAGCAAAACATCTTTGGTTACCGGAGGGTATTTGGGTATGGGTCAATACCTATAGATACATTTTTATTGGGATGAACATCCATTTACCAGCTATTTTGGGGTTCACTAGGTACCAGGGTTTTGACCCATCCCCATTTGTTGAAATGTTAAAGTCAAACATGGTCAAATTCCCGTCACCTGGGCACCACACCATGCTGTGCCAGCAAATCTTCGAACAGCTCAGCGGCCCGTTCCACCTGCCCGAGAGTTGCCGCAAAGGGAATGCTCCGGATGCAGCGTTGGTTGGGATATTCATTTTTTATGTCCCTTTCATTTTTTTCTTGGGGATCGATTGGGGGGGTCAGATTGTCAGAGAAAAACTATGGTTCGGACACGGATACTTCGCAGAACGTCTTGCGATCCCTGATTTTTGACACCCCCAGACGTCATAGGTTTGATCAGGTGGAGATTGGCATCTTCATCAAATTCTCCCCTTGTGCTGAAAACCTGGCTCACTTGGCGCCAGACAACTCATCTCAACCTCTAACCACGGCGAAAAATGAATTATTGTATGATTTCCCATCGTATCTGTGTTTGATTGTCAGCTGCCCCCAAAAATGATGCGTAATAAGTGGATGTGAAGCCCATTTAGCAACTGGATTCTAAGCCATATCTCAGTCGGAATACATCCCAATTCAATTTCTATGGCTCAAAAAATCATCGTTTTCAACTCCGAAAACTTCCTGGGATGCTGAAGATATCCATCCCCAGTCGGCTCCATCTGTGCCTCCGCTTCGCTGCCCTGCTTGGTGGAGGGCGACAACATGCTCAGCAGCACGAAGAGGCCTCCAGCCGCCAGGAAAGCGCTCAGAGATCGCGCGCCAGAGGCCAGTGGTAAGCTGCACCTCAGCTGGGGCTCGGAGGATTTGAAAGAGGTAAAACGATGGGAAAAATCCCATGAAATACATCTATAATTTTTAAAATATGGCCATGGATCAATACCTATAAATGCAACTTTTAGGGGAATGAACATCCATTTACCAGCTATTTTGATGTTCACCAGGGGTACAAGGTTTTGACACACTGCCATATAGGAGGATTCATGTAAATGGTACCTTCTGATTCAAGCAAGTCGGGGAAATGATGAAATCATACCGTAGTTCGCCTCAACCCATCTCAATCTCTCTGTCACTTGGCGATCATCATGTCGTAACATGCTTGGAGGATTTTGGAGGCCCAGATCTAAGTGGGATATGCATGGTTTCATAGTATGACTGCTAGGGGGTCACTGTTGGTGATCAGTTTGTGGTTTTCCTTGGGTCGCAGTTCCAAGCCAGCTGCCCCCCTAAGCCGTAAATAGAACCATGCCTCCACACAGGGATCCTATCCTCCAAAAATGTCCCTCAAATGCTACAGAAAATGTTGGTCGTCTTATGGTCATCTTATCCATGTTCATGGGCATTCATGGGTCATCATGTCGGGGCCCCGATCCTGCCCTGGGCGCTCCAGATTTAGCCAATCAACATTCAGGCTGAACCCATCCTGCTGTCTGCTGTCATGTTCGGCTGGTTAGAAGCAAAAAGCGCCATTTGTACCAGCATTTATACCACCGCTTATAGCACCATTTACTACGGAAAAACAGCAACCATCCACCTACTCAACCAAGGTTTACCCAAGAGTCACTGGGTGCACCCCACTGCAGGGCGTCTAGCGCTGCGGTGCGGACCTACGGCATCGAGAATTTTCCACCCAAGAGGCACTGTTGGGATTTTTTCATATGTTCCAGATTAGCTACCCTACGGTATAGCTATTTTTATGGAAAATAGCGATGTTTTTTTCGTGGTAAACGGGTCATGGATTCCATGGCGATGTTAAATTAGCAAGGAGTAAATGGTGGATTCACATAAGAGAAAATCATCAGCAGATCATCAGCAGATCAGCAGATCCAGGTCTGGAACCATTCCCATGCACGCCTGTAAGAGCTTAGGCCCACGGAGCATCAGCATGGCCTTGCACTGCAAAAAGAAGCACAAATGGTGGGTAAGATTTGCCGAGTTCTTGGTAGCTAAAAACGTGTTTTTTTTGCTAAACTCGTTCTGTTTGCTCAAAATCTCGTCAAATCTCCCCACGGTGATTTCCTCCTTAAAGCATCTTAAAGCCTTGAAGGCCTTAAATCAGAACAGGTCTGCCAGTTGATGTGTCCACATAATGCCCGATGTACACTATGTTTTTTTTTTGAGGGGGGGTGCTCACATGTTATCCGGTTTCTTTTCCATGCCACATCTGCATCAAACACCCGCCAGGGTCGCCAGTAGGATGGGCATTGCCTCTGAGACCTCCAGGAATCGGGGAAAACAAACAACACTAGGTGAAAAAACAATGGAAACTGAAGAGGGTCGGCATTTTTAAGGGGGAAACCATGGGAAACCACTGTAAATGTTGAAAGAAAAATAAAGAAAACGGTGCGATCCGTTGGTCACAACTTGGAAACATCAGCCCAAAGAACCAAAGCCTCCCATTGCACAGGGTCTTCAGGTCAGTTCCGTGACGATTCGGCAGGGCAAACTATTTGGGCTATCTTGGGTTGCCAGTGGCAGCTGCCCTTACAGAAACTGGCTCTTGTTAGTTGGTGGGAAAGATATGAGATATTGGAGATTAGATATTAGCCCATCCCGCATTGTGGTTTTCTTCAAATTTTATACTCCTGCCAATTACGCCAAATTTGTTCTTGAAGGATATCGAGACGGCAGATTAAGAAAGATTGCGCGCGAATTCATTTCAGAGTTTCTCCAGCCACCAAACAATCTCCCCAAAAAAGTGGCCCTAGATCCATGCTATATTTGGAGACCTCATCCCAAACCTTTGGGGTTCCAATTATATTTGGCTGTTGAAAAGAAGTTCTGGTAATTAATTTACTATCCACACAGGAAACCACATCTATCAATAGTCGCAAATCTCCATCCCCCAATCTGGAAATGGGTTCAATGATGTTCTGCAGTTTGATATGGCCACTTCGTTGGTTCCGCGTGAGACTTCCAAAGGGAATCGCAATGCTCCGTATTTATTTTAATAAAACACATGAAATGGTGATTCCCAGTGGAAAACTAAAATGCCGATGCCTGCATTCCCACAGGAAAAACATGATAAGTAACATAAACCATTGCCTGGAATGGGAAATCAACCAAGATCATAAAAATCGCAAAGCTGGCATTATCAGAGGATCATATCACTGGACTGGTGAAACACAGGATAACAAAACTCCATCCCTGAATGAACTGAACCGTGGCTATATATCCAAGCATAGAATCATCCATGAATCAGCAGAAATCCACAACACAAAAAAGAAAGTAGATCATGAATCCATCCTCCCAAAACATGTTAGATAATATCCTCCTGTTTGCTGGTTAAACATGGTTAAGCTCCGATGTTCACCATGTTTGTGGGTCATTGAATCCCAGTGCTCCAAACCGCGCCTCGCTCCCCACAGTGGCTGCGTGGCAAACGGCCTTGGCGACATAGGAGACCTGCAGCGTCGGGCAGTTGGACCAATCTGGATGATTATTGCAATTATTGTAATTATTACATACAGAGAGAGAGAGAGAGATATATATATATATGTGTGTGTGTGAAGGTACATATTCTATATATGCGGTCTATAGATACAAGTAGAACCCGCGCAAGGCGGGTGGCGGAAGTTTCCAGGTTTAAGGACTGTGACGCTATAGGATCCAAAGATAAGGTTTGCCTATAGGAACTGGAGTGAGGCCTCACATCTTCTGAATTCTGTTCTGTGAATTCGTCCTCATCTTGCCTCACCCCTTTTCAACTGTGACCACCACTTCTCAGCTCTTCGCAGCTCTTCTCAGACCATCTCAGCCCTTCTCAATTTTCGCAACTCTTTGCAACAGCTCTCAAAGTTTTTCGTCTCTTCCGATCAGCTCAACTCTTTTCACCTCTTCCCCGCTTTTCTCAACTCTTGTCAACGACTCTCGCCTCTGCTCACCTCTTCTCAAACCTTCTCAACTCATCTCAACTCTTCTCTCCTCGTGCCACCTCTTATCAACTCTTCCCACCGCGTCTCACCTCCGCTCAACTGTTCTCACCTCTTTCTCAGCTCATCTCAACTCTTGTCACCTCTTGTCAACTCTTCTCAACTCTTGCCAACTCTTATCACCTCTTTTCACAGAGATGGAAGCTTTTACACACAGCAAGCTTTTACACCTAGTACGCACGACGGCTACACAAATTGCAGCTCCAAAACTGGATCTCGACGCCAAAGCGGAAAAACGACGATTTTGAAGCACTTTTTGAAAGGAACTTAAAAGGGGAATCATCAGCGCCAAAATGGAAAAATTCTGCTGCCAAAGCATCATTGGCAACCTTCATGCCGCTACTACAATACGATTTACGAATCTCAGCTGCAAAAGACAATAGTATTTCGCACGCAGCCGCAGCAGTGAGGAACCTTGACGCAGCTATTCCACTGCGATCAGCAGACACGAGCTAAAAAAGACAAAAAGAATTGCAACACACTACAGTAGAACGCATCGCTTTGATGCACCAGTTCGAATGCACAAAGTGTCTCAACACATGCAAAGTACCATAGCCATAGCACAGCGTCAACAAAGAAGAGAAAAAGTCACCTGGAACCCTCAGTACATTGCGCGCGCAGTTCCAGACAGATGCCACGGTAAAGCGGCGACGCCTAATCCCGTCGCGCAAGCGAGCCAACTTTTCTCCGCAACGTAATTTCCGTTTACCCGGAAAAAACACAATGTTTCATGCAAATCCTAACATTCAAATCGCATCCATGATGTAGCAGTTGCGATCTGCCACAGATGCGCATCCATGATGTAGCAGTTCGATAAGCTTGCGAAGCCATTCCACTGCGATCTGCACAAATTGACATGCAAAACACAAAAGCACAGCATCAGCAAAGAAGAGGAAAAAGTGTCACTTACATTGCGCGCGCAGTTCGAGACAGATTCCACGGTAAAGCGATGACGGCTCACCTGGTTGCGCACGCGAGCCAACTTTTCTCCGCAACGTAACCTCCGTTTACCCGAAAGAACAATGTTTTGTGCAAAACCTAACTCTACAAACTTCCCTGCCCTTCTCTACTTTTCTCGACTCTACTCTACTCAACATCTACCCCTACGCAACTTCTACTCTACCGCTACCTACCTGTACCCCTACTCCACTTCTACTCAGCTCTGCTCTACTGTCCTCTACCCGACTCTGCTCTACGTTACTCTGCTCTACTCTACTCATCATGCGTCTTCTCTACTCTACGCAGCTTTACTCTGTTCTAATTCTACTTCTACTGTACTTTGCTCTACTCTACTCTGCTAATCTCTCCTCTTCTCTACACTACCCTGCTATACTCCACTCTTCTCTACTCTACTCTTCTCTACTCTACACAGCTTTACTCTACTCTACTTTCTACTTCTGCCTCGACTCTACCTCTACTCTACCTCTAGTCTTCGCTACTCTACACAGCGTTAATGCGTTATCTATACTCTACTTCTGCTCTACTCTATTACAAAGCTTTACTCTACTCTACTCCTACTTCTGCCTCTACTCTACCTCTACTCGACCTCTGCGCAGGTGCCAACTTGACACAATGATCTTTTAGCTAGTGAGAATGTGACTTCAGGACTTCATGATCTCGTAAGGCATATGCCAACTGGACACACTGACATTGGGCTAGTGAAAATCTGACGTCATGATCTCTTTAAGGCACATGCCAACTGGACGCAATGATCTTTTAGCTACTATGATCTCTCGAGGCACATGCCAACTGGACACTGTCACAATGGTCTTTTTGCTAGTGAGAATTTGAATGTGACTTCATGATCTCTTGAGGCACATGCCAACTGGACACAATGATCTTTTTGCTAGTGGGAATGTGACTTCATGATCTCTTAAGGCACATGCCAACTGGACACAATGATCTTTGGGCTAGTGAGAATGTGACTTCATGATCTCTTAAGGCACATGCCAACTGGACACAATGATCTTTGGGCTAGTGAGAATGTGACTTCATGATCTCTTGAGGCACATGCCAGCTGGACACAATGACCTTTTGGCTAGTGAGAATGTGACTTCGTGATCTCTTAAGGCACATGCCAACTGAACACAATGATCTTTGGGCTAGTGAGAATGTGACTTTATGATCTCTTAAGGCACATGCCAACTGGACACAATGATCTTTGGGCTAGTGGGAATGTGACTTCATGATCTCGTAAGGCACATGCCAACTGGACACAATGATCTTTTTGCTAGTGAGAATTTGAATGTGACTTCATGATCTCTTGAGGCACATGCCAACTGGACACAATGATCTTTTTGCTAGTGAGAATTTGGATGTGACTTCATGATTTCTTAAGGCACATGCCAACTGGACACAGTCACAATGGTCTTTTTGCTAGTGAGAATTTGAATGTGACTTCATGATCTCTTAAGGCACATGCCAACTGGACACAATGATCTTTGGGCTAGTGAGAATGTGACTTCATGATCTCTTAAGGCACATGCCAACTGGACACAATGATCTTTGGGCTAGTGAGAATGTGACTTCATGATCTCTTAAGGCACATGCCAACTGGACACAATGATCTTTGGGCTAGTGAGAATGTGACTTCATGATCTCTTAAGGCACATGCCAACTGGACACAATGATCTTTGGGCTAGTGAGAATGTGACTTCATGATCTCTTGAGGCACATGCCAACTGGACACAATAATCTTTGTGCTAGTGAGAATTTGAATGTGGCTTCATGATCTCTTGAGGCACATGCCAACTGGTTACAATGATCTTTGGGCTAGTGAGAATAAAACAATCCGTAACTTGGAGTTTCTCTACGAAACTTCCTTTGAGAATATGTCTGTAAAATGTTTATAGTCTGTGGGTAATCTATATGTGAAAATTGTCTTGATTGCTATAGTCTACATGAATCATAATACAATAAAATAAACTGATTGTTCCAATGGAATGTAAATATTTGATTATATCCAATTAGATTGGATCAATATAGTTATAGTTATATGTATATAGTTGTAGTTATATGTTTCATGTAATAGCATACCCACATATGAAAACATTAAATTTGATCTTTGGGTGACCATGAGCTGGATTGTGGTTATCATAGATCACGATAGCTGAGCGCTGTTTGGGAAATCCATATGATGCTATATGATGCTATCCATTGACATGCAATAATGAAATTCATGGGCAATGGGACTGCGCAATACATGAACAGCCGAGAGACATGTTTTGCATGTTTTCTTCACTGAAGGCCCTAGAGCTGTCTCACAATGCATGCAATCTTTCAGAAATTCCAACTTAAAATCTGGTTCCAGTCGGATTTCAATGTTTTGATCCTTGAACACCCGGGGAGGATTGCCATATGGAAAATAGGACAACTTGGGTGTCATAACCGACAAATGGTGGGCAACATGATCTTTAGTTGAAAAAATGGCTTATGCACACAGTTCCAAAAAAATGGTGGAGGCGTGCTACAGACATTGGGGTGCAGCCTCCAAAACCTTCATTTCACTCACAGGAAAAGGTAATAAAAAAACACTAAAAGAAAACCCGGCCCCCGGAACATCTGAGTTCAAAATCTCCAGGCGGACGCCCCCCATTCCACCCGATGGTAGCTGCTTCCCACCCGATGGCCGGTGGCCTGTGAGGTAAAGGTTTGGAAGAGGCCGTTCACCTCTTCGGCACCTGGCGAGGGAGGATGGCCTTCCGAGATTCAGAACTTGATGATGTTTTTTTCGTTTGCCCTGCGATTCTTGGGGCCCAACTTGGATCTTCCGAAAGTGGGGCGCCCATCACCTGGAACCAAGGAAGCCCCATGTGGCATTGGGTGACATCTCAGTCTGATCTCCCATGTTACAAATCTAGTTTTCGTATGTTTTCGTAAAGAATAAACGATCTTGTTATTCCCCACCTGCCGGGTGAGGATCTCTAGGCTTTATCAGTTGCCTTCTCCTTCCTCTCCTTCCTCTCCTTCCTCTCCTTCCTCTCCTTCCTCTCCTTCCTCTCCTTCCTCTCCTTCCTCTCTGCGACCTCCAGATCCCAGTGGACCTCAACCAAAACCGTGAGCTCCAGATCTCAGGGGCACGGACGACCTCAACCACAACCTCCAGATCTCACTGCACTCCTCAACCGCGAGCGCCAGGTCTCAGTGGGGAGTGCTCCAGATCTCAATGGGCACTGCCGGACCTCAACCGCGACCTCCAGATTTTAGTTGGCACTTCCGGACCTAACCTCAACCGCGAGATACCGCGACCTCCTGCCGGACGCACTGACCCTTGCGCAGGAGAGGTCCGGCAGTGCCCATGTCAGAAAGAATGTCAGAATAGCCAGATAGAATACCAGAGAAAATGTCAGGATAGATGCCAGAAAGGATGCCAGATAGGATGTCAGAGTAGATGCCAGATAGAATGCCAGATAGAATGTCAGAATATACGTCAGATAAAATGACAGACAGAATGCCAGATAGAATGTCAAAAAATATGTCAGAATTTATGTCAGGTAGAAAGTCACTTGGTGAGGATCACTCGAAGAAGTTGGATTTACCAGGTATTCAAAATAGCTATGATACGTAAGTCGGAACTTTTGAGACTAGTTCGACAATCTTGGACTCAAATATCTTGAAGGATACATTGGCATATGTGACTTAGCAATCATTTGCCCTCCGGCAATCTAGTCTAGTTTTTAAAGGAATCGGCTATTTGCAGATTTCAAAAAACTAATCTGGCAAAAACATGAAAATGATAAAATAAAACAACTTGTGCAATCTGTTTGGAAAATCAACTACCTCCGATCCAATCGGCCGCAGCGTTGGATAAGAGCCTCTGCATCCGCGCGGTGGCAAGTCACCTGAGCGACAGCTGATTTCGAGTCATAGATATTTATTGAGGAATTCCCTGGAAATCACCTGGAAATCTAAGTCGAACCTCCAACAACTCTTCTTGGCCATAGCTCAAAATCTCACATTACCCCATTCCATTCACTGGTTCATCATAATTGTCCCCAACCAATGGCCGACGCCAACCAAATACTGCTAGAAATCAGGCAAAAAGGATCACGCCAAGGTGGTTTTCTGAGAAAGCAATCCAGAAAAAAGATAGAATTTGACAAAATACGGCTACAATAGTGATAAATCATGGCTCCATCGTTTTGGTGGCTTACTCTGAATCTTGGCACCACATATTATAAAATATTATCTACAATGATATTAATATTACATATATAATCATATATATATGATATAAATTATAATTGATTATAATTGTATATATATATTATATAATATATATTATAATATATATTATAATATATATTAATATATATTATAATATATATTATAATATATATATATATATACGAATACGATTATATACGTATGACATCGATTGATGCGCAATATTCTCAGTGCTGCCGAAGTTTGGTGGAAGAGTCGGCAGCAACATTCCTCCATGTCCGGCTTAAACTTCACCCACTAATGGAATGATATTTTCTATCAACAAAAACCATCCTCCATGAAAATGGAACCCCCCACAAAAATTACCATCTGGGTAACTTATAATATTTCACTAACCTGAATGCTTCGGCCATAAAAGGGGATGATTTCCCTCAAAAAAACATGATTCCAGGCTTCGGGAGAACAGGGTTCGGTCGTTATAGTTTACCCAGAACCATTCCAACCATTCCAACCACCGGGAATTTCTCCAGGGAGCCGTGGAACCGTCGTCCAGCACTTCTCCTACAGTAGCGCCCTCGGTTGTGTTTTGTGCATCCGGATGTGCGGATGGCATGGAATGAAGCACCCATTACCAAAAACAAACACCAACAGAAATGAATGGCATCAACAAATACGATTTATCCATCAACATAAGATAACGAAACAAAAAAAAAAGGCCTGAGCCAACAAATGAGGATCTCATTCAACAAAAATGAGGATGTAATCAACAAAAGGAAGAATTCAACCAAGAAAAGCTCGAATCTAGCCCGTTTTTTTGACGGGCGCTAATGTAAATCTATACACCTGTGGGTATTGTTTAACATCTTCGGAACCTTTTTGCGGATGAACATCAGTTTACCATCTATTTTGATGTTCACTAGAGCCATATTTTTGGCCGATACCCATGCGAACTGCAAGAAACGGGTACATCATCTACTCACGGCGGTGTTTTAAAATGTCCAGATCCATAGCTGGCACGGGTCATAGGTATAAGGTTCATGGTGGTTTCTTCGCAACCTATGATGACAGTACCATCATTGTACATCCAATACATCATCCCATTACCATGGTGCGACCGAGCCCAGTGACGTCAGTCAAAAAGAACCCATCTGCCTTAGCCAATGACGATGACGATGCGGAATCCGGACCCCTATGGCGAGTCTGGGATACTCGGCCAAAAAAAAAACGGGCGCAATATTCCTCTATTGCCGGTTGGACATTTAATCCATATTTAAGTATTTAACCACTAGCCTGCCCTATCAAGGTTTACCCAGAAAACATCAGAAAACATGCTTTTTGGAGTCCCCGGTTTTACCAACACACCGGTTCAAAAGAGGGGCAACCAATGCTTCACTGAGTCAAAATCGTTTGGTTCCATCTTTGATTCTGAACAGTCAAGCACATGGCTGAAAAATGTTCAAACCATCCAAAATGACAGACAGCACTTACTCCACGGGACCAGATTCACCAAAGTGGACCAGCGTTTGGGCCCGGGCATTAGAAGCGGTCATCTTTGGTGGATGATTGGGAATGCCCATGAAAACAGAAATGCCCATTTAGTCATGGTTCAAACTTGGGCTCCCAAAAAAAAATGCAAATCCCAACATGGCAAAATAAGCGAAACATTGGACAGCATCGGATGGTTAACACCACAAAATCGGCTGGTTCATACTCCAATTTTCGTATACACCCAGTTGTCACCCCCTTCCATTGAGCCGCAAACGGCGGCCATGCGAAAGAAGCACAAAGGCAACCTCCGATGTGGCCAGCAGGGCATGGAACATGTAATTGTCGTAGACATCTGCGTTTTGCTAGTTACATAACTACAGCTCCATTTTTTGGGAACATATTATGTTTCGTTGCATGCTCGACATCATGTTATTGGATTTGGCCCTGGTGTAGCTTCGAAGGGCAGCCACAGCTCAATTTCGAGCCACAGCCACTCTACATGGAAATTGAACCATCCTTGCTAGCGGCAAAAGTTTCCTGAACTCGCAGCTCACCAACCCTTTTCCAGATCATCCCTATACAGTCAACCGTCATAGTATGGGCATGGGTCAAAATGATCACCTCCCAAACAAAAATTGATGTTTTAACACCAACATGTCAGCCGTCATTTGGTCCATTACGGCGAGTTTGACCCCCCCCCAAACCGCTGGGAATTCTGTCCAAAATCCAGCCCCAAACTCCACAACTGCCCGTGCCTACTGGGAAAGACCAAGCGGAAATCTGTAAGAATGCGCTGCCGCAGGGAGGCCTTGCCAAAAATGGGGGTTCGCCCTCCGAAACCTTGCGTTGAACCCACAAAAAGCTATTGAATGCAAAGGAAAATCATCTTCCAGGCCTCGTCTGGACCCCTGGTGATTTAACATAGCTCCTAAGCAAAACGGGTCCATTTATAGAGGATTTATTTCTTACAAATTGTGTTTTTAGTTCGGGTATTCCAAATGCACCGCTAGAAAATGGGTCCATGGTTAGGGTGTCATTTCCACCTTCATTTTCAACTTCATGTCCAAGCCGCCACCGTGCTTTTGGGCTCCACCAAAACCACGAAGCGTACCTTGAGTTCGGACCCATCGGGTCAAAGGGGAGATCATGGGGACATGATTCGCAACAAAAAAGGGGTGATTATTAATCACCAAGAATATGCTCTTGATGTTTCTTAAAGGCTTAAAAAACGGTGCGTATTACTTTACCAACACAAAATTGGCGTGTTCGCCCACAACAAATGGATTCTGGGGAATATGACAGGAATCAAAAACACGCGAATACTCGGCCTACCGCCAATACCTTTTAAGGATGTTCATGGTGTCAGAATGAGGGTCACCCAACATCGACGTTGCTGTCAAGAGGAGAAATGGATTGGCCATCATTTGTTGCCCTGTGGGATGTATAGGTTCCCCAAGCACAATTTGACAATGGCGAAAGATCAACTCATAAAGCATTCACCAAGCTTTCCTTGGTTTAAGACCCCTGTGCTTCCATTTCTACGCACGGGAGAAACCAAAGAAAAACATCGTTAAACAACCAATCAAGTACTAGCAAGGGATGGGCCCCCATTGCCATAACTGGCTAATACATCCAGTTGCTTTCCACAATCGATGGGAATCCCGAATATTAATGGAAAAAATAAGATTATTCCCATTATGATCACTATATGGCTATGAGTCAAAACCCTCAAACCCTAGGTACCCATAGGTACCCTAAAACAGCGGATTGATGGATGTTGATTCCCAGAGTCATATGGTAAATCCATACGGTAACTTGACCCATCCCCAGCTTTACATCTCCGGCCTCTTGTTCAGCTCCATCGAAGGTGATGAAGAGCTTCATGGCACGGATGAACCCCAAAAAGTGCTATGTTTTTTTTGGTACCAGGGAAGCCTCTTGCTTTCATGTTTGGGATGGTTTAGCCATGGCTGGAAAACATCCCATTGACATCCGTTTAGTTCATTCTTGACGGATTTCCTGTCAGGAATGGGGCATTTCCCAGTGTCAGGAATGGATAAGTCTGATAAGTGTAGTGCAGCATAGCCAAAAGTGGCAAATGATGTTCTTCATTTTCCTCACCTCCAAAGTGACTGCCAAGTTTGCACCTGGTTGATGCTTTCAGGTTTCAACCCACTGCACAGCTTGGAAATGTAGTCTGTCAGAGTGCCATAATGGCTGCAGAATAGCCCCTGCTGCTTGGTTGAGAGCGGCATTCCCATGTTGGATTGCCAATGTATATTACAAATACATAGTAATCCCCATGAAACCAGTAAATATGTAAATATCATCTATCATCCAACCATCTAACCATCAACCACCAGGTCACCTACCTTGTCCATGAACACAGTCTCCAGCCTTCTCTCAAAGGAAACCGGGCACAGGTGGAGTCAAAGTCTCTGATGGGCCCTGGTCTCGTGTTTTTCACTGGGCTATTTGAATACATTGAACTGATACATCAGCAATGCAGCAATATGTTCATGTAATTCGATCACCGTACTTCCCTGTTATTCAGAGTATCTATGAGCCAATTTGGATCGGCTAAGCGGACACCCCCGCAACACCGGTCAGTCATCGCCTTTTTTTCTCAAAACCACCAAGCCGCTTAGCTTCCCCTATTCCAGCCCATCATCGTAGTTCTATTCACCATATGCTAAAGGAACCCTTCAGGTGGCCAAATCCCCATCAAATTGCTGCGGAAATGGCAGCGGTGGAGTATGGATGAGTATGCCACTTTATTGAGAGATACCAAAGATCTACATGTAATGCGGTCAAGTTAGATGGTATATGGATCTGTGTATATCTATATCTATATCTATATTCTATGATTTGTGGTCATCCATCCCATAGATCCCTATTGATAGCACATTGCTGCTCTCCAGTGTTGCAGCTAGAAGCACTTGTCGCAACGAGAAAAAAATCATGTCTTCAGGTCACAATATCTGCCAGTGATCCAATCCAAAACCCCCAAAAAAATCCTACCACCTACCAAAAAAATGCCAAAAAATGGCATGGATTGCGTCCCCAAGACGCCCAAGTTGTGGCTCTGACCCCTTTTTTGGCCGCGTTGCGAGCCTCGAGTCTTTCGAGTCTTAGCCGTCCAAAGGTTCAAGGACCTCGTTGTCAGGATCTTGCTGAGTAATATCACCTGGCGTCGTGGCGGTTCCCCCTCGGGACTGAGATCGATCTCAAGCAGGTGATGAATGGCTAAGTGGCTGATGATCGACTGAGCCAAAACCACTTTGGCCACTTGGGTATGAATTTGACGGAGTCCTCCTGAAAGTAACCTAGTTTCTTGGCATCAAAGCTCCCAAATTTTGACTTTGACCCAGCATGTAGCTACAAACAAATCATACAAAAAAATTAGGAAAACATCCCCAGACCCGAAAAAAGTAACAGCGGATCACCTCCAGGGCTACAGCCCTTGAGAATGTAGGGCATCCCATCTCCACTGCAGGCAGTGACGTTCACCGCACAGCCGCCATATTTGCACTTCGCAGAGACGCTAAAACTGGGCCGTTCCAGGGAATAGACCGTGAGGTCATACGCCTCCTGGGATGGTGACCCCCAGATGACCCATCTGGGCCGGTTTTTTTGGTCTTCTGTTAAAGAGGTATCACGGTATCACTTCAATTTACTTAACTACAGTAGGCAAGATTCCATGGTATGTTTTTGGATTTTCAAAACCCGGCAGTCAATACAATAGTTCCTGTGGGCATCCTTGTTATCGAAGTATATGTAGCATCCTCTTGTGTCTGACCCTTTTCCAAGCAGTGGTGGAGAATGATTTTGTTGAATACTCATATGGTCCGATCCACAAAAGCCCTCCATTGGTTGCTCACTTTTCCTCTGAGAATGCCTATGAGGACGAAGGCAATTTGGCCCTGTACAAAGCTCACGCTGCATTTTGGGCCTTCCCCCTGTGGTTGTCCATTTTAGGCCCTTGGAACTGCAGATGGGCCATGTCTAGTACCGGTACCCTCCAGAAGACCATCCAGCAAATGGCTGGAAAATCCCATGGAAAATCGATGAACATCCAGCATTTGCAGATCATTCCCAAGAAAAACCAGGGATTCATTCGTGTTCGTTGGATACCCAATTTCGACCCATTCCCATGTCTCCCTTCCTCCCCGGCGCCTTCTCAGCCTCCCCTGGTTCAGCGCAGACCTCTGGACTGCAGCCACTCAAGGAGTAGGTCTCCTTGGTAGCCCCGGGCATGGCTGACATGTGATATCTTGTCATTTAACGTCTAAAAAATGGGGGGATACAATGGGATACATGTGTATTTACAATTTCTGTGGGTTCTCAATCTGCTGTCACTTAGAAATTGGAAAGACGGTATACACTTTGATCTGCCAGAATTGAGGCTTGTCCCGTTATCCCATTCTCAAACAAAGCCAGATGGCCCCTGGGCGCTGGAGGTATCAGGTCCGGCCGCCTTGACGTCAGTGGTATCAGTGCTCTTCAGAGCAAAGCATGCTGTGCTAGCCGCCGCTTGTCAAGAAAGCGCAGGGCATTTCGGAACACCAAATCCACTGGTTAGTTATGCTTAGTCACTCCTAATTTTCCCTTTGAAAACTGCCATATTTTTTATGGCATATCCGGATATCCCCAAGTTTCAGACAGCAAAAAGGTGATATTGCCCAAAAAATTGATCCGGGATGTTGTCCACCTGCCCACAAAAATGAAGTTTCTGGTCATTCTTAGGAGCTTAACAGAGATTTACAGAGCTTCACCTGCTCATCATCCAATGTCAGGAGTATCAAGTGACTTGACCCATACCCATCTGAACCCTTTCATTCTGTGTAACACCTGGGGCTGTGAATTGCGTACAGAACAAGCGTCTTTGGACGCTGACTTGACTTTCGGGGGTACAACCACTTCCAGTGACTGGAGCCTGAAATCCAACCATTCTTTCTCAGAGAAACAACACAAATTCCCACGACCTGGGCTGGATGGGGATGGAATTCCTACAGATTGGCTGGTCATTTGCAGCCTCTTTCGAAAAAAACGTGCCCATTGGTGGAATATGTCCCAGCTAGTGTTTGAGAAGCGGAGGGCACTCAGATGATATCCCCACATCATCATTATCCCCACAATATCCAATGAAATCACCATTTTCATGCTGCTTAAACCACGATGTGTCACTATTTAAACGATGCTTCACCATCTTAAATCATCCCCAGCCTATGCGCACCACCTTGCCCAGGGGCGTTGTTGCTCTTGCACTTCGTCACCTCCGCTACGCCTGAAGCTGGTAGATATGCTTGTCATGTCATGTCGAGAGGGAATTAAAATAATCAAACATCCCATATCTTCCACTAGTAATGATAAGTGAAAGTGATGATGGTGTGCAATTTCATGATACCATGAACTGATAATTTCCAATCATGTTCCATGGTATCATAAATTCCCTCCCCTAAATCGTGTTTCCATGTTTCCACACACTTTCCGCCACGTTCCCATCCCCAGCCTTTGTATCCCTCGGCACACTTGGCGTGGATGGTGAAGTTTTCGATCTTCTTGTTGGCTTCAAACCTCGGCCATGGCGCCTGTCGGCCCCGCATCCGGGTGAAACCAAAAGTGGCCCCCCCTCAGCGATCAATCCATCGCCGCAGAAGCAAATTGGACAATCAAATCCAAAATCATCAAATCATCATGGATGTTCTCCACAATTTGCAAATCATGAATCATCAATTGTTCACATTTCAGAACGGCTTAATCATGATGATGAAGAGAAATGTTTTTTTTGAAAGGCTTAATTGGTTAATTAATCATCATGAATCATCGTGAATCTTATGGTGTTTTTCACATTTCAGAAAGGGTACCCTCTGGTAATTTAACATAGCTATTGAAAATGGCCCATTTATAGCTGATGTACCTGTTAAAAATGGTGATTTTCCATAGTTATGTAAACGTTTACCAGAGGGTAAAAATCATCGAACATCGAACGGTCGAAGTCCGAGCAACACCACATAGCCGGCTTCGGCTTGGGCTCTGGGAGAAGTGCAGGAGCCCAGGTAGCAGCCCTCCAAGGTGTAGGTCCCTCCGTCCTGGCCCCATGGAAACATGAGGGAAACATGAGGGACATATTGGGAAAATGATGGGAAATTTTCTGGGAAAATATTGGTAAAATATTGGTAAAATATTGGGAAAATATTGGTAAAATATTGGTAAAATATTGGGAAAATATTGGGAAAATATTGGTAAAATATTGGGAAAATATTGGGAAAATATTGGGAAAATATTGGGAAAATATTGGGAAAATATTGGGAAAATATTGGGAAAATATTGGGAAAATATTGGGAAAATATTGGGAAACTATTGGGAAAATATTGGTAAAATATTGGTAAAATATTGGGAAAATATTGGGAAAATATTGGGAAAATATTGGGAAAATATTGGGAAAATATTGGGAAAATATTGGGAAAATATTGGGAAACTATTGGGAAAATATTGGGAAAATATTGGGAAAATATTGGGAAAATATTGGGAAAATATTGGGAAAATATTGGGAAAATATTGGGAAAATATTGGGAAAATATTGGGAAAATGATGAACTTAAGTGGGTTCTTTGAGTTTTTGGAAACATCGGATTTTGGATTTCGAAACCAAAAAATGAGCGAGAGAGGGGTGATGCCACTTCAGACCTGATCCAGCTCCAACATACCATCGGAGAATGGGTATATGGATCCCGCTGAACCAAGGTGAACCCAGATGCATCCACTGATTCCACTGTCACTTGCACACAATGCCCCAGTCCCCAGTGGTTTCTTTCTGATTTAAACACCCCAAGTCTTGCATGGACCTCGAAAAATCCATGTTGTGAGCCGTCCTCCCACTCTCCATAATTGCTGGGTTCCATTTTGCTACTTTGGCTTCAGCATCTCCAGGGATGCATCTTTAATTTCTCTTCATGTTTGGTGTTCTTTCAGGCATTCATCAGTTCCATGCATCCAAAATGAATGCTCTTCCCACTTCTCCAGATTTTGTGTTTGTTTGAAAATAGGGGTTGATCATCATGTTCTGCATCAAAATAGCTGCAACAGATAGATCCGAATCCATCCAAATCCATCCAAATCCATCCAAATCCATCCAAATCCATCCAAATCCATCCAAATCCATTATTCATCAGGTTGAATCGCTTTGTTTCATGATTACACCCCCCATACTTGTTCATTAAACCTCCATATTTCCCATATTTCCCATCCGTAAATCCACCATTTTTCCACCATCCACACCTCGGTACAGGGCACTGCTCTGCCATAGCCCCCCGTGAAGCGACAGGCCGCTGTGATGCTGAAGCCCGGCCGCTCGGTACTGTAGATGGTGAGGTTGTAGGCTTCCTGACCGCGAAAATGTCGGACATAACTCATGAGGTTTTTACCGATCATCATAATGATGATGATAATGATAATAAAAGTAATTAATAATGATAATAGTAATCTATAGTCACCATCCCCGAGTTTGAGTTTTATGAAATGGGTTTTTTTCCGCGGTTTTTTTTCGGCGGTATACCGTATTAATACCCCTTTCTGAATGGGATGATTTTTCATAGGACCCCCGATGTTGGTTTTCATGGGAAGGTAGAAATTGTTGGTTGTTGGATGTACGGTTCAACGGTGGATTTCAAGGACAAAACTAAGGGGATCCAGAACTGGAGTTGGCCAGGGCTTCACCATGTTTCAGCTGGCGGAAAGGATGGAAACATGTATTTTTTTCAGCGCCGAAAAAACGCAACGGGGGAAACACTGAAAAAGTGCGAGAAAAAAGGGGGAAACCATTTATAGATGATTGTCCCATTAAAAGCTCCATTTATCATGGATTTTCCATGGCTACGTGAAATAACCAGAGGGTAATTTGACCAGAAACACATCGGGCAAAAATTTGATTTGACCAAAACATCATTGGCTCTGGTTGACCTATACAATTGGCCATTCACCATTCAGCCCCATCCCTGAATTTATTGTTTAGGTGGGGAGGATCTAATCTCAGCGGAAGTTCTCTGATGTTCCTGACGAATCACCAAAGATTTTGATGACCTCACCTTGTTCCAGGATCACAACTGCAATCATGTCCATTGAAGGATCATTTTCAATGGCTAATCAAGGATAGAGGGTAACATCCTCAAACATGAACACCCCCAAAAGAGGACCTCCAAAATACTGTGAAGTATCTTGACAAATTGAACTGTAGCACCAGGTTAACAAGAAATACAACTTATATACATGATATAACAATGTTTGACAAGAAACAAGTATGTACCGCGAATCCAATGTTTCATCATCATTTTCCCCATTGAAACTGCCTTTGTTGGGTATATCGGTATACCCCTTTTTTTTGGAACTAATTCTGAGCAAAGCCATAAGACAAAGCGACCCATGATGGCCCAAATGTACCAAAGCGCAAAATCACAATGGCAGAAAATGGAGACTTGAAACGAGACGAGGTAAATCACCCGGCTAACTCAAAAACGAAGTGCCAGGCTCTTCTCCATTTTGGGTTGATACTCATCTCCAACCCTCCCAATTTATCCCCCTTTTGCGCCTTTTCAGCCTCGCTTGGCTCCAGGCATTTCTCGGGTTTGCAGCCGCTCAACTTGTATTCCTCTCCGTGTCCCGAGCACTCCTGCCATGTGCGTCCGCGTCAGGAATCTTCAGGCGTTTCACCAAACAAAAAGTGGGACATTTAATTTGTAGTGGGGCATGACTGCTGATCACATTCCATGACATATCACATCAAAACTCATATAATATATACATACAGTATCTAATTATATTATTATTATTATTGTTATTATTATTATTGTTATTGTTATTGTTATTGTTGTTATTATTATTATTGTTATTATTATTATTAATTATTATTATTATGTATTGTTATTATTATGTATTATTATTAGTATTAGTATTATTATTAGTATTATTATTTTTATTATTATTATATATATATATATTGTATCTATATCCCAATTATGTATTAAAAACATGTGGCATCACGGGTGATGTCTATGTTCCCATGACAGGCCCACGGCACCTCAGCGCATGGTTTTGGGGGTGTTCGCCCCCTCGATATAGAGGAAATTGCAACCAGGATTATATATATATATATGTATATTTATATTAACATTAGATAAGTGACATCAACTAACTCTATAAAACTTGGTTTCCTGAAATCTTAATTTTTCCCTTCCGTCAATCCCCTCAGCTCATCGTGCCGTTGCTCCTCAACCACTGCCACGCCGCGGTAGCCATCGGCGCACTGGGCGGACACGTTGAAGGTGCCCAAGCGTCGGTTGGCCTCGTACCTTTTCACGGAGAAATGAGGAATTCACGACGAATGGAAGAATGGTGTTTTGGAAAATTGAGATTTAATTGGTTTTGGATGGCGGAGAAACCTCAGAACTTTTTTATGGTGATTTGAGATGAAGGATTTGAGCGACAAAAATCCATGGATTCAACCAACATGGGGGAGTTCAGCAGAAAACATGTGGGGTTTCACGGTTTCACCAACCAAATCTGAGCTTTGGAGTGGCGTTTCTTTGTCGATGATTTCAACCAGAATGGTAATGTCCAGGCATCTGTTTCCCCTCCCATTATGAATTCTGGAGATCAGCATTTCTTGGGAAAGGGTTCGGGAAGTAGCAAGTACCTGTCGCAGACTTGTGTTCAGTACTAAACAGACTATCCAATTTTGGAGTACCCAAGTTTGAACCACACCATTTCTGTCACTTGTAGGCACCGTTTGGACCATTTCTGTGTAGCTACAAGCTGCTGATCCTATGAATTCAGAGGCAATATCCAACAAAGGATAGGGTCGGAGAGGGTTCCTTCCGTCTAGAGTGTGGGGTCAACAACGACAAGTCGACAAGTCACACAACATAGCCGGCATCCAATTTCGCCTTGTCCTAGGCTCACGGCTTCGACAGGTCGCCCGGCTGTTGCTTAAAGGCTGCAAGACTGAAACGAGTCGATTTATGGATCTGAACTAGCATAAGGTACCTGTTTGAACCAAATGAGCCCAGATTTTTTGGTCATGTTCAGTGATGCTATAATTCTGAGCCATATCCAAATGAATATATGCGAGATTTACAGAGATTTACCGCACCTTTAATCAGTCACGGAGGTAGCGCCAGGTGGCCAAAATCCACGCAAATTTGCCGTTGTTCTCAGATGCTCTCAGTACGATTTTCTCAACTTGGGTCTATCATGGTCTATCCACCATGTACATTAATTGATGATGGGACAAAAACATGTTCCCCTGGTGAACATTAAAATTATGTGGGATGTCCAGATGTTGCAAAATCCAGAGTTCAGCTTGCGGAAAGAAGAAAAGAGACGACTCTCTAGGTTTGCTTTCTCGCAGCTAAATGCATCAATCTAGAACAAAAAGATACGACTTTGTCATTTGCTGGATGTTCATGCCCCAATTGTTGTCGTATTGCTTCTGACTCAGTTCCAAGCAACTCTAAGATCAGCACCAACTGCCATCCTCCAGTTATCTTTACTCCCATCCACCCACCCCATCCCATCCCAACCCCCAACCCACCCATCCCAACCTCCCCCAACCTGTCGAGGTTCCGGTGCCTTGCACTCGCCCAGGGGACAGCCCCGCAGCGTAAACGGCTCCTGGTCCGCCTTGCAGGGCACCGCCTGGCCAAAGAGGTGCGGCGCAAAGGCGCACTGCGCGGTGACGCTGAACTTGGGACGTTGCAGGGAGTAGACCGTGAGGTTGTAAGCCTGGCAGAAAACGGCGGAAAACCATGGTGATCTTAGTGATCTTAGTCTTTTTTTTGGGACTGTGAATATTTAAATGGGATTCTAGTTCTTAGAAATGGTCGATGGATTTTGATGGATTTTGTGCGGCTGGGACAATGAAAATGGCGAATGAGATGGGTTTGGGACCTGAAGATTTAGGGATAAGACCCCAAACCCAATGGTATATCATGATATTCCTTTTTCAATACAAAGCCGTATGATAATTCATGGTCGTCGGGATCTTCAAATGGTAGTTGTTTCACCTGCCAAAACTGGAGAGCTGGCCATTCATCAACCAAAAATTTGGAGCAAAAAACCTGTGGAGTCCTGTTGCGGTGAAGACTGCTGGTTCCATCGTGAGATTTAAATCTCAGATATACAAATGGGGAGTCTTCCATTCATGGGGTGTTTCAGCTCCAAAAAGAAAATGTGTAGATTGACCCTTGGCAAAATGCAGGGATAGAAAAAAAACGAAAGGTAGTGCGAGTGGACAGAAACCTGGCCGTTGAGGACAGCACAGGGTCTGGGTCAAAATAGACAAAGAAAACTGCATGCGGTTGAATTAATAAAATATCCGTAAAGTGACCTGAACCACTGCGTTTTGGATGGTCTGGAATTTGGACTCGTACCTATTTGTGGCACTTCGCATTCCATTGTCCCTCACTGCAAAATAAGAGGATCATGCGCTGGCTCAGCCCCTTCAAGTCCCCTTATCCTATCTGCTTGGCAGACAGGAGCTGCAACTATCGTAAGGGCTTCCCCGCAGCATCTGCATGGCCCAATGTCAGTACCAGAGGTCTGGGCAGCTCCACCTCTGAATACTTCTTGCTGGGAACGGTGCAGTTTCCAGGGAAGCAGCCACTCAGTTGATACCTTGACGCAGCCCGGGCAGGCGGGGTCCCGCGTCACTCTCTCGGTCGATCCAATTTTGAGGTCGCTTTAGACTACATCCAAAAAGGGACACCCAGCTTCAAATATGTGCATAGGATAGAACTGAAATAACTAGATATAACACTATCTATATATATATATTATATGGTCAAGGTGCGGCTCCCCAGGCTCCTTGCACATAGACACCTGCGCCACCCCTTCATAGGCGTCTCCACACGTGGCCGTCACGTCGAAACGGGTCATCAGCTTGTTGCCCTCATACCTCGGGTTTTTTCTCTGCGGGGCCACAAGGAACCAACATCTTGGTGCATTTCATAGATTTCAGGCGGGAAAAGACAGGAAACCTGCAGCTTCTATGGTTCCCCGGAAAAACTCAGGCCAGGCTGGAATTTGGCAAAGAATCATGCCAGAATTCTTGTCAGGGGTGAAATAGAGAGTGGAAGGCTAGATTCGTGATGATCCGTGTGTTTGTTCGTTTGTTTCCAGCTTCATTTCCACATAGAACCCGAAAACAAAGCATCTTCTGCATCAGCATCACCCAGTGCCGGCCATTGAAATAGGGTTCCTCACATCTATGTTTATATCACCTTTGGGGGAAGTGTTACCACCATTTCAGGACAAAAAACAACTGATACTTTGATTTTAACATATTTTAAACAGGAAAAACATGGGAGAAAATCTCTGGTGTGAAGCCCGAACTGAGGCGTTTCAAACGCGGCCAAGATTCACCATGTAGCCATCCTCGGCCTCTTTGTGTGGAGAGGTGCAGCTAGCAGGATAACATCCTTCCAGGGTGTAGGTGTCTCCATCCTGCGTGTGCATGAGGATGGTAGCTGACTGGGCGAGGTGAAACATCCCTGAATTTCAAAGGGTTAGCCAACAAAAATTGAAACGAAGCAAGAAAAATGAGGATTCCACCCATAAGAATGGGCCGAGTTTACATTTTAATTAAGTCAGCAAAATTGGAGTTTCAGCCGCGCAAGTGTGGATTTCCATGGGCCAACAGAATATGGGGAAATCAAACATAAAAGATTGGCAAATACGGAGATATTACCCTCTGGTAATTAAACATGGCAATGGAATAAAATCCCCCATTGATCCATGATTTTCCCATCAAACCCTCCATTTATAGGGAATCTCAAGATTTCCCATTGCCACGTTTCATTGAGGGTACCTAACAAATCTGGGAATCAACCCAATGCTGAAGATTGAACTCAGGAACCCAAAGTTCGATGCTGTCCAACTCAGAAACCGAAAGAACTTCCCGCTTTTCTTCTTGAAGACACATCGAGGGTAGTCCGGGTAGTCAGACCAGGGACCCCCCATTTTAAAAAATGTGTAAGTTTAAAGTATATCCCGGTATATCCCATGATATTCCCAACATAACAACCAGGAAAATCACCCCATTTTTTTCACCAAAAAACCACCATCTCCTGCGTGCAGGGCATTGCCTTGGGCGTTTGCCCCGTGAGCGCCTTGGTCTTGCAGCGGGTCGTCACGCTGAAGCTCGGCACCTCCAAGGAGCCCTCCGTCAAATCGTAGCCTGGCAACAACAAAAAACCACCGTCTGCTTGGGCTGAGAAATTTACAGAAGAAATTCTTCATTAATGTGTATGTGTATATATATATGTGATATCCAAGGAACATCACTCCGTGAACAGGTTTATCAATTTGGAAGGGGGAGATCAAAAATCATGAAAATCCCCGTCCAAAAATGGCTGAAAATTAAGCTTTAATGAAGCGTAAAACCATTCAAATCAAGGATTACTGTGAGGGTTGGAGGTTGCGAAAAAACAGACATTGATCAAGACTCACTGGAAACATTTGAAAAAAGAACATTGTCGACGAGCTCTCCTCGTACTCAAAGAGTAGTAACTACTGAAACCTTCCAGTTCAAGCCCCAGGTTTGGTGATTACCTTCTCCCACAACTATCCATAGCAAGATATGTCGAGGCGCTATAGGTCTCAATCTCCTTGGGTGCGACGCACACCATTGGCCGGCAGCCTGAGAGTTTGTAGGCCGTGTCCGGCTTGGTGCACATGTCCACCTCAGTCCCCGCTTGCTGAAGGGGTCTCACACAGGGGCCGTGTTCTGGTAATGAAAGTTGGAGGAAATGGGGTTGTAAAGCGTGGGCCACCGGAAGGAATAATTCTTGGGATCCAGATTTTTGAGCACTCCATATTTCCAGAGAATTACTCCATATTACTCCATATTTCCATATTTCCAGAGGGATCCATATCACTCCATATTTCCAGAGGACCCCTACAATCCCTACAGGCTAGGTTTTCCATCTCCGGACCTGGGAACTGCTGGAAGTTCTGACCTTTTTTCCAAGGTGCCTTGCCGAATTGACCAGTTTACCTAAGAATAGGTAACATATACATGATTAATCATCATTACACCTAATAATACATATGAAAATAGATTGAGTTGATGTTTTTCATGTTTTTCATGTTTTTCCTTCCGTTTTTACCGACCCTTTGTGAGTTATCCGATGGTTTCCGCCATAAAAACTGTTGCTCCACCCGTCCCCAGCAAGGTGGGCGCTAAAAAAGCTGCTACGATTACCAGAGGCTTTGTCTGGAAAATATCGTAGCCCTAAATCCTCTGGTTAAAATTACGGAAATTTTGGAATTTTGGTGGTGACCGTTTCCCATTAAAATCATTTAAAATCCCTCGATTTTGGTCATGTTCCCATGAAAAATCCCAATTTTGGAAAATGCCACTATTTTCAGACACGCCCCAAAAACTTCCAGCTCAGTCCCTCGCCTTAGCTTTTCCGATGTAACCCTCTGCGCATTTGGCTGTCACATGGAAGCTGTCAGACGTGCGCGAGATCTCTTGCCTGGGGTTCGGTGCGAAAAAATTGCAGCAATTCGTGATTTAACCATGAAAATTAGGGACATGGGATATGAATGGGGATATCACATGATACCATGGGATCCATAAACAACTATATATATATATATATCCAATTTGGGTTGGTCTGAGAATGGGGTATATGCTGGTATATAAATGTATATAACCCCCATTGATGGTTGTTACATAGGGAAAATCATGTTCAGATGGAATGGGGTACTGGAAATCTTCACCAAAGCCATCGGCACAGCTGAGGTACACCACGTAGCCCAAAGCTGCTGTCGTGTTCAAAGGAGATGTGCACTCCAATGGCAAACAGCCTGCAACGGTAACCCGGCAACTGAATCATGAGATGCGATTATCATCTAATCTATTCACTGCAAAGAATCAAAACCTGATCTTCACAGATGTCGCCTTCCCATGAAAAGTGGAGAATTCCATCTTTCCAGAAATTTCAAACTTGTTCAAACTGCATGTGTCCCGAGTCACTGGAAGACTTCCGTCACTGGATCGAAGTGAACGAAAATCGACCACGGAAACCTCGCATCCCCGCCTGACAGGGTAAAGGCTTCGCCCTCCTTCTTGCAAGGAATGGCCTCACCAAGGCGGGAAAAACTCTAACTCGCACACGTTGGAATCACCAAAAAAAAAACCAAGACATTTTGGAAGTTGGAAGCCTTGCAGCTATTTACATATCCTTTGAATGTTGAAACCTTGAAGTTGGACAAAAGCACTCTTAACATGCTGGAATTAAAATTTGGGATAATACCAGCTTGATCTGTCGAGTCTAAAGGCGTCGAGCACTTGGCAAGTAAATTAGTGCCAAATTTTGAAATTTTGGGTTGCACTTTTGGCCGTCGACGAGAAACTCAAACAAATAAAGGGCCCTTATTATTGATATACTGTATATACTTGTTCCGTAATCAGTGTCATTAAGAAAGAGAAGGTGATGCCTAGCTACTAATTTGATGAAAAATGTTACCCAGAAAATCCCAATGACTCATGGATTACTCCTGGGTAAAATTGGTGGAGTATCGCAATTCTATGGTGGTTAAAAGTCAGTCATTTGGGTTTATCTGAGAATAGGATGCCTTAAAAATCCAGCAGATCATCATACTTTCCTAAAAACAAATGCCATACCCCATATGTTCAGACACACTCATGAATCACATATGGTTGCTTATATCAGATCTCACTATATTCCCATAAAAATCACGCGAAATGGATGCTGATATTCCCATGAAATCCAGACATCCCTGGAAGGGCGCCTTGGGCACACTGGAGTTGTGCCCACGGCAGCGCACTGCGACGCTAAAGCTGGGCGTGGCCAAGGAGTAGACGTGATACTGATATCCTCAGCTCCCAGTGGGGCGCTACTGACTACCATTTTTAGGGGATATACCAACCCCAGGGGACCCATCCAATAATCTATAGGGTTCTTAAAGGGTGCCAAAGGGGTGGCCAAGGGAGCTTAGGGAGTTTGTTCATGGTGGGCATAAACCCACCAACAACCACTAGTTGTTGGGATGATTCTCAATGTTTGGTGGTGTTTCATGTTTTTGTTCAACACGCTGAAAATATGAAAGTCCATGTTCATCATCACCATCCTCCCAGGTACCAGAGATGATGACATGAGGGTTCGATTGTTCTTGTTTTGATGAAAGGGGGAAGGGATTGCCAGAGAGCTTTGCAATGGAGATGTCAGCAAGAGAAAGATTGAAGAATACATCAAAGTGGAACAAGGCAAAAGCTGTGTCTTTTAATGTGTGGCTGTGATTTCCTCAGATTTATGTATGGATTTATGGATTTTCCTTACCATGGAGTGTGCCATGACCCATAGGCAGCGAGAGAGGGTGAACCCACATCCACCGTTTGATTGTCATTGTCCCGGTCAAACTTGTTATACAGTTCTGCCGCATGTTCAAACAAATGAGATAAATCCAAATGGGAGGGGCCAACTGCAGGTTGCCTGAAATGGGGTTTTCCCCAAATCATCCAAGTCATTAAACCATGCTTGTATTGAAACCCACGGTGACTTGGAGATCCCCCATTTTAAGAAACCCCAACTATGTACATGTCCTGTCTAGGTATTTTTTGCAAAGGCTTCACCCAACCCCCACAACCCCACAGCACAGCCCCACCAAGTCTCGATGTGGCACGTGTTTGGGCTCGCTGCACCTCATCATCAACCATGGAAAATGGCGAACTGTTCAAAAGCACCAAGCGGTTTGGGTTGGAATGGAAGAAACTGACGAAACTTCTCAATGTCCCAAAACCCTGACTCTGATCCACTTTCCGGAGAGATCTTTAGAGCTGCACACACACTAGACAAGAAATGGATCATTGAAGTGATCCGTTGGGAACTGAATCCCCTCACATGCAATTGGATTAGAAACAATGACCTAAGGTAGATCTCCTCGAAGTAGTATCCGAATATTGGGAATGCATTCCGATAAAGACAATCACGACCAGAAACAGGTTCAAGTAGATCCCAAAACCAGTAGCCACGTGAAATCTGTGATGTAAGGGTTCTTGGCTTAGCCCTTTGCCATGTCAGCGAAATAAAATAATTGTAATGAAGACCAGATTGTGGCAACCGTGTAGAAATAAAATCGTTGTGGTTGGGGTTCTCGGCTTAGCCCGTGCCATTGCAGTAAATACGTCGATGAGCGTCCCCATCGATATCACAGATGACACACTGGCGTCTTCGTTGGTGCCAGTCCAGTGTGCATCCCTGGCACCCCCTGCAGTATTAAAAAATCTTGGGTTGGAGGTTTTACGTCTCTTCAGACGTTACGCACACACACTCTTGCTCAGAACAGTCTTTGCGAATTCTGATGTGGAATGCATCTTACGTGCAAAAACACTCCAATTATACCTGACAGGAATGGGTCAGTGAACAGGCCCGAGAAAGTTCGAAAAGTTTCCCTCGCCATGACTAGTGCTAGATGCAAGAGTCAAATCACTCCCACCTGACATTGACTTGAAATTCATCGGTTCGAGTTTGGTTTGAAAGCTGTTTCAAAACGACCGTGGACAAATGACATGAAATGAAATGAAACGGCTTGGTGGTTCTTGGGTTAGCCACGTCCCATCACGAGGAAATAAAACTGATGCGGGTACGTCCAGCTGGCGTTGGACACAGTCCCAGTGAAATGCTGTGTCCCCCCTGCGGGAAAATCGATTTTTGAAGTTTTACATCTATTCAGATGGTTCACACACACACACACTATAAAAAAACTGTGAAAAGGATAATACCCTCTGGTAAACTAACATAACTATGGAAAATCACCATTTTCAATGGGAAAATCCACTATAAATGGTGATTTTCAATAGCTATGTCAGCCATTACCAGAGGATAATAAATGAAAGGCCATCAATACCAGCAGATCTCAAACGGATAGACTCTAGCACCAAAACATTCAGAACGTTGGAAGATAACAGATTCAGAATCCAAATCTGACGACCAAGGTCTCCCATTCTTCCAGGAGCTCCATGTTGCCAGGTTAGCTAAGCAGAGAAAAACTGCATGTTGATGACGAAATCCTCAAGTTTGGAATCAGCTTTATCAGTTTTATCATCCCTATCTTACAGAGGTAAAATATGGTTGTATCAAAAAAAAAAACGTGTTGTTGGTTCGAAAAAGCCGCGTTACAGAGTCTCTCCGAAAAAAAGAAAAAGAAAAAAAAACTACATCAGGGCGAGGCACGTGAAGGCAGAACAGCCCGAGAGGGTGTAAGGTTCTCCTGGCCGAAATCAGAAATATGGAGTGCGCGTGCAATTTGTTGGTCAATAAAATTCAAGACACTCCTGATTTAAGATTATTTAAGTGCGTTCTTAAACAGTGTCATAGAATGTCATATTTCGTCATGTTTCCCTGTTTTGAGGGATCATGACTTGGCAACAAAGTGAAACATCAGCAACTGGTTCAATTTTTGTCCGCATGATTATGGATATAGTGGGTTCAAAAGAATCAGTGGGGCAGTTGGGCATTCTTTTCTGATGTCCTATTTCTAGTGCTTGCTGGCTCTTCCAATGGGAAGATCTTTTGGGACAGGATCCAAAGGCTGCATTGACGGCAACAGAAGCCACGAATGGTTGGCCTCACTCTTTCGCAAAGCACCAAAACTTTGGGATGTAGGCATTGGTCCAAACCAATGATCCCCCATGGAATAAAACATCAACCAAGATTCTCTCTTGGATTCATGTCACCCCGGCAACCTTTTGACACACAAATCAGAAATTGCTGGAGGGATGGTAACTGGCACCACCTCAGATCCAGGAAACGCCCGGCGGTGGCTCCTCCCTTCTGGCACTTCTGCACCACCGCCTTGCCATGATAGCCCTCCGCACACTGCGCCACAACATCGAAATCGGCCCAGGAGAGAAAGGACTCGTACCTGAGGCAGTGGTGATGGCTGTCCCAAGATCACTCAATGATGCTGGAAAATCTTGGACAATTGTTGAGCCCCTTGTGCCAGGCCCTTAGGGCCTTTGGGGTGTTGCACACCTTGGGGCCTGACGTTGAAATATGTTGAAATTATATGAGGTGTGGACCAAAACGCCAGGGAGTTGTGGATACGCAGAAATGAGATGGTCCCAGGGCCCATGAAATGCGCAATGAATTTGCCTTCAAGCTGCATGTTGGTTGGCATATCTCCCTGATTCTGTTTCACTTTATTCCTGAGTTTCGCGGGGTTCTTGCCTCACCAATCGATCTTTTTCCTAATCTTCACCAAGCTGCACCACGTAGCCATGCTCCACGCTCTTGCGTGGGGAGAGGCAGGCCTGAGGCTTGCAGCCGCTCACGTGAAAGGCTTGGCCATGCACGCGACAGGGCTCCACCTTCGGGCGACCCTCGCCACTTTTGCAGCTGGCCGAGACGTCGAAGCTGGGGAGCTGCAAGGATTTCCTGAGGCCATCAGGGCCATCAGCCAGTTCGAAGCTGGGGGACCGGCCATCGATGTGAAAAGAAAACAGGGGTCCACACCTTCCACTCAGAGGTTCAGAAAGATGCGTTTTCAGGTCTTAGAATGTCGAAATGGTTTGGTGGGCTCTGAGAGCCTGGATGTGAAAGGCTTGGCACAATTTGGTGAGTCTGCATGGAAATCCACCACTTAGATCTGCCTGAAACCCATCTTGGAGATTCCCAAAGGATATCAGGATAGAGTGTGTTTCAGTACTAACTGACCATATTTTTCAGCCCTAGTTGGTCACCAATTTAGCCCCCAAGAAAAACCGCCGCCCTCTCATCGTCTCCAGGGTACACCGTGACATTGTAATCGTAGGTCTCCTCTGCTGGAGGCTCCACACACACAATTGGAGAGCAGCCGGACAAAGTGTAGCTCCCTCCTTCCTCCTCGCAGACTTCCGCCTGCCGCGGGGGTTTCTGGGACATGGAACTAGTCCAGCTACTAAACATGGGGGTGCTCCAATGCCAAGGGGAAATAACAAGGTGACAAGGTGGGATGAAGGATGTGAAAGACTCTAGATTCCTTTCTTGCCTCAATTTCCTTTTCCTCCTGCGGATCAAGGTCTACGATGGGGGATACATCGTCCTTGGGTTCCCCTAACCAAAATCGACCCATCAAATGGGAAGAATCTTCAGGGTTTTCGTCCCGCCCAAATAGGTCGTTTCCTGCTTCTCCTTTCTGGTTTGTGGTTTTAACATGTTTTAACCCCCGTGAAAAAGAACATGATCACTTGGAGATCATCCTCAAATTTGCATGTGAAGCCACCAGAAACCAAAGATCTTTCTTCATTTCAGGGTCATGAAACCTCGATGTTTTCCCTATCCTGCCTCCCCCTATTCAGGATACCCCTGGGTGCCTTGGGTTCCCCGTGGTAGCCCAGGTCGCATTCGGCTTCCACGTTGAATTCCAAAATTTCCAAGGAATCTTCCAGCCTCAGCCCCAGGTCGCGGATGGTTTCTAATCTCCTCCCCGGATCATATTCAATTATTGAATACCACCCAGACGAAACCACAGTTTTTGTATTGGATTTATATATTGTCGGGGTATTTCATATGGAAGGGATGGGATGACAAAGTTTGAGATGACCCCATAGTGTCACCTCAAAAACTCTGGTGGTTTATGGCTTTTTCGACTCAGGTATAGCTCAAGAACTATACCAACCTTTTACCAAGCCAAGCGTTGTTCTTGACGCAGCCAGTCTGAAATGTACCAGTTCACACCCAAAAAAGCTGTGATTTATGATGATTTCTACATGTTCATCCCCAAGACAAATGGTCCCCATGGGCCCATCCCTAGCCAGGCCACAATTTGTAGCCTGTCTGGTTTGCCCGAGGCATGGTGGCACATTCCAGCGGAGCACAGCCTTCCACAGCATAGATCTCTTCGTTCTCTTGGCAGACGGTAGCCTTGGGTTTGCCTGGTGCAAGGCTTCCGCAAATTTGGAACCCCGAAATGGTCCAAAATTGACTGCATTTGATATTTTCAAAGCCATGACTGGGGGTCCCCCGTTCTAGGAAACCTATATTTGGGGCCCAAAATAGGGCTGGAATTCTGATGCCCCAGATAGTGCCACTTCTTTTCGGCCAGGGATCGTACGACTGGAAACCTGATCACAACTGTTGGCGAATACGGTAGCATTGAATTGGACTATTCTATCTTGTGGTTTCCATGTTTGACCCATGCCCAATTACCCATCCAAGCACCGAAAAAGGAAAACACATGGGTGCAATATTGCTGTGGGAGGAGGAAGTACGACGAATGTTGGTCAATTGCTCAACTTGGTCGCTTCAGTACACCAACTCTGTTCCACAGACGATTCTAATACCCCCGATCTTGAGAAATGCATCTGCATTATACAGGAATCATGCATTGTAGTACGTATATTTGGCTTCTGCCCAAGCTCCGCCCTCCCAAAATTGATGCTCTAAAACCTCAGTTTCCCCAGTTTCCCCGAAATAACCGTAAATAGCCATCCTTTTTTGGTTCCAGCCATATCCCAATTCTTGGGTCCACAGGGTCGCAATCGGCCTCCTTCCCCGGCTTCCCCGGCAGGTTTGCCCTTGCATTTCAACGAGACGTTGAAGCTTGGCACTTCCAAACTCGTCTCTGTGACCTACGGCGCTCAGTTGGGAAGCCAGCATTTCTAGGATTTTCTGCTTCAAATCATGGCATTTCCATGGGTTTTCATCGATTTTCTGGTTCAAAATGGAAAGATCCTGTGGATGATCCCACTTTCCAGGCCAGCGACGGCATGACAGTCACATTTAGATCATAGGAAACCAGAAGAAACCAGTTCGTAGAAGCGTGACCTATCATTAGACTCATTAGACCCATTATATAATCATTACCCTCTGGTAAACTAACATAACTATGGAAAATCACCATTTTCAATGGGTAAATCCACTATAAATCACCATGTTCAATAGCTATGTTAAATTATCAGAGGGTAGACCATCAACCAACTATCATTTCGACGTTTCGCACCCACATGTTCATTTCTGCTGGTTAAACCTCCCAGCCAAGGTGCGTGGACTCAGCAAAGGAGGCGTTGAAGACCGTTTCTTGAAGAAAAGATCCCAGCTGTTTACTTCAAAAAATATAAGTGGATATTCCCATCGTCTACACCAGCAACATTATAATATTCTATTAATATGATATATATATATATATATATGTACATATAATTATATTAATAATAAATAATTAATAATAATAGGATATGATATGGGATATATCCTATTATAATATATTATATATAATACAATAGGATGAGATAAGATACATATTGGATATCCATCCACCACCAACCCATTCTTTAACGACGCTGGGTGCATCGCTTACCTCGTAGGCATGGAGGCTCTTCGCGCTGGGTGCTGTGCATTTCTTGGGCGTGCAGCCGCTGAGGCTGTAGTCGTAGCCGCCCTTGGGGCACACGCTGGCCTTCGCCCGGCCCATGTAACCTGGGCCAAAAAAAAGGTGGCAAAATGGGGATGGAAAGCCACGCAAAAGCAGTTCACCCAGAAAAATGCTGGAATGTGGACTTTCACCGAAAATGCCGGTTGAATGGGACATTAGTATATTATATATATATATATTAATGTGATACCCTGTGGAAAATTGTGACTTAGCTATGGTATAGATGGCCCATTGAGTTTGATGATTTACCCATCAAACTGGGGATTTTCCATAGCAATGTGAAATTACCAGAGGGCATAATCCAAGGATGGTGAGCTTCAGTGTGTTGCAATCCCTCATATCATCCCAATTCAGAATCGTGGAGTTTCACCACCAAAAATGTGGATCTCATCCATACATGATGGTTGGTCGTTGGTGATGGTTGGTCGTTGGTGATTGAGCCATTGAAAAATAAATGCATTCAACGAACAAGAATGGGAATGGGGACTTAAATGGCACGAAAAAATTGGGGGACTAAACCAGAAATGGTGGTGAAATACGGGTAGTACGTGGTGATACCATGTAATACCACTCATCATGTTCCCCTTTTTCGGGGGGGCATACCGATCTATCCAATTCTTGGACTGCCTGTCCTCGACATCCATTCAATCCATTCATGCGATGTGAAAATTCGGCAGTTCCACCGGGAGACCAACCCAGGCCCCACCGGGCACTAGACCTGACTTGGACTGTTAACTCAGTTGACCCAGTGATTTTGGTATTCGAAAGCTTCAAGTAGTTTAGTTCAACAACGACCAGAGACTTGTCTGAAAAAATGAGGATTGAGAAAAATGATGATACCAAAAGCTTCAGAAAGTCTCTGGTCCTGAAATGATTTCGTCCAGCGACCTTCCTGACAGCTGGCAGTGACCTTGAACTCCTTGGGGTTCAAAGAATCTTCGACCCTCGGTACGGCGGCCCTGTGGCATTCTGAGCTGCCAGCCATTGACATTCGCCTCTGGTAATTTATGACACAGCTATTTTTCAAATCACCATTATAACTTTTATAACCATCATTTCATGGGTAAATCATCATTGTTCTCATCTGTTTCTATCATGGTTTCCATAGCTATGGGGTCCTCTTCAACCCCTTGGGCCATGGGATTTTGGGCCGGTTTTCAGGCCGAGGCGGCCAAGGTACACCACGTAGCCCGTGTCTTGGGCCTTGGTGGATGACAGGCATGGAATCGGCACGCAGCCGGAGAGCGTGAAGGGCTCACCATCTGCGGCACACTCCGTAGCCAGGCCTGCCAGCTGGTTTCCATCAATGGGGTTCGATAAGGGGGTTATAATGGAAAATCCTACTCAATGGAGATTATATGAATTTCCTACAATTATATACTGTAATAATATAATTTTGGTGAAAATAATGTGGGGGGGTCCATAGTCATGGGGGGTACCCCAATAGCTGGTTGGCATATTTCATGGAAAATCCGAACATAAAATGGATGATAACTGCGGGTACCCCCATTTCAGGAAACCTCCATGTGAAAGCAGTTTTCAAAGCATGAACATGTCGAAGATTGTGAATGACCATCGGCTGGGGAAGTGTGTGATAGGTTGATTCTTTTTTGACCCAGCTGTCCGAAAATTTTGGGTCGGGCACAGACTGGACTACTCTGGCTTCAGTGGTACATCGTGACTGTTCTACCTATGAATTTGGAGATATGACTACTATGTCTGCCCATAATTTTATGTACTCAAGCAAGCAGCAACTGTTTCGTATGGTTTCAATATCTCTGGCTTACCTGCAAATTCTGATACTCAACTGGAAATGATAAAGATATCGCCCCAAGTACAAAAAAACTTGAAAAGCTATTGGGATCAGGGACTCACACTCTTCGTTTCTCTGAAAAATTGATCAAACTCGGGGCTCTCCCGGCCTTGACCCTCGCCACTCTTGCACTTCACCAACACGCTAAAGCTGGGTTTGAACAAGCTCTGGGGAACATAGTCGTAGTCATAGGCCGCCTGTGGTGTGCGGCTTCGATGATTTTGATCATCCGCTTTGGTCATGTGTAGAATACCCATAGTGATCATGAAGAAACATGTAGTGTTGGTAAAACAATCATAAACCATCCCCAAAATCACCATAAATAGGTGGTATAAACCATTCCCAAATGGGTGGTTTATTAATCCCTTCCTCCTAATACTAAACCCCCCCCCTAATACAAAACACGGCAAGTAGTTTTTAGTATTAGGGGGGTATTTATTATTAGGGAACCAAAATATTGCCAAAAATGGCAGTTCGAAGCTTACCCCTAATACTAAATTAAAACCCTTAATAATAAAAACCATTTTTTCCGATCTCAAAATCAATTAAATTTCCTTATATAACGCAATTAAAATATTGCCAAAAATGGCAGTTCGAAGCTTACCCCTAATACTAAATTAAAACCCTTAATACTAAAAACTATTTTTTCCGATCTCAAAATCAATTAAATTTCCTTATATAACGCAATTAAAATATTGCCAAAAATGGCAGTTCGAAGCTTACCCCTAATACTAAATTAAAACCCTTAATACTAAAAACTATTTTTTCCGATCTCAAAATCAATTAAATTTCCTTATATAACGCAATTAAAATATTGCCAAAAATGGCAGTTCGAAGCTTACCCCTAATACTAAATTAAAACCCTTAATACTAAAAACTATTTTTTCCGATCTCAAAATCAATTAAATTTCCTTATATAACGCAATTAAAATATTGCCAAAAATGGCAGTTCGAAGCTTACCCCTAATACTAAATTAAAACCCTTAATACTAAAAACTATTTTTTCCGATCTCAAAATCAATTAAATTTCCTTATATAACGCAATTAAAATATTGCCAAAAATGGCAGTTCGAAGCTTACCCCTAATTGCTAGAGTAGCCAGGCAGCTTGGAGTGAGGGATTGGGACTAGGCCCCCCTAATACTAAACACCCCGGGGTGAACTAGTTTTTAGTATTAGGGGGGAGAACCCACAAATGGTAGGTTGATTTTTAAATTGTTTTTTAAAGGGGATCAATTAAAAGTCAAATTGGCCAAACTGAAATTTTCGGAAATTGGAGATGGATGCCTGTTTTTAGTATTAGGGGGACGTTTAGTATTAGGAGGAAGGGATTATTGTTTTAACCACATTACACCAACCCTGGTTGGAAAATGATGGGAAGGCTGGGGAAGAATTGACAACACAATAATGACACCAGCAGCTTTCCTATAGAGCTTGCAGCTTGATCTCTGACCAGTCGGTATCTGTAAAGCAAAGCCTTCGCCGCGGAAGTTTTCCATGGCAATTGGGATGACATGTTGTTGCTTGGCCTTTTCCCTCCACTAAAACGACCACATTAAACATCATTAAACATTAAAATGACCAAGAACATCATTAAACATCATTAAACATCATTAAACAATCACAATTTCTGCGGCGAAAAACTCAGACCTAGCCTCAGCGCTGGGCAAGGTGCAGGTAGTAGGAACGCAGCCCGTCAAGGTGTAAGGCACATCCTTCTCAGTGCCTCGAAACACAAAAAAAAAACGGATGGCTGGGAGACGTCTCCATTGATGGTGTGTGGTATCAAGAAAATGGCTGGTGGTTATAGGTGATGGTTGTATATATATATATATATATATACACATACTATTTACCCAAATGGCTGTAAATGAATGTAAATGGACGTAAATGGATGCAATGAAAATAATCCACAAACTCGACTGCATGGAGTTGCCTGTTCTTTGGTATATGTATGTTCAATAACCAAGGTTGATAAGCCACATCTAATTTTTAAAGGTTGTAACCAGCTACTAGTGACTCGTGGACATGCACTCTGCATTGAAGATCCAGACCATAGGATTCATATGGATTCCAGGTCTCTATTTTTGGTGCTTCGGTTTTGTTCCCAGGTCCCCAATTTGAGGACCCACATAAGGACCTGACCCGCCCTGTTTACCCTTCACTTTCTCGCTGATAGATGAGTTCGTGCTTGCAAACGGAGCGGCTTCTGTCTTTCGAAAAGTTGGCGGCAAAGAACTGGCAGCAAAAACCCAGACCGTAGTTCTTAACTCGATGTTTTGCGTATAGATCTGTAACTATTCTGTAACTCCAAGCTGCAGGGAAAGAAACTCGATTTTGAAGACCTGCAAAGGCTCAACCTTTCGAGCTATGCTGAAGACACACTCAAAGTAGGGGGAAGCCCACGGCATTGGCCCAGCGGGCTCATGCAGGTGCTCATGACCATGTTCACCAGCACAGTTTCAACATGGATGTCCCAGACCCCAAGAGTTTGGGGGTCTCCACAGCCACCATATCACCTTTACGTTAAAAAAGATGTTATAACTCTTAAACTATATGCTATACAGGCTATATATACAGCCAATGAGGTCAAAACAAGTTTCTATGTTTTAAGATTGAAAATTTTGACTGCGGCTTGCCGGCGCCGCATCTTTCAGGGCCGCGTCCACATTGTGGATAATATATGATAAATTATGATAATATCTTTGTCAGTTGTCGATTTCGAGCAAGGTGAAAATGGTGATTTCGAGCACTCCCTTCATTTGGCATATTAGCCCTGCAGCTTCGTGTACATCTCTGCAAGCTCATTGGAGGATCATTCCACGTGCCCACTGGTAATGATGCCCTTGGGTAATCAAACATGGCTAGCTGGGAAATATGTTTGGTTACTGGAGGGTATAGATGTATGATATATATAAATATAAACCACTGGAAGAAAAACATCAACACCCAGGGGGGTGTTCTGACCGGACATGGTTTGTATATGTTTGTATCGCATTGGATCAACCTCCAAGCACCGGATTTTGAGGGCCAGCGCTGCCCGCAAGCTACGGGGTACCGGGTACAGCAGAGGAAGGGTGGCCCCAAACCAGCCAGCACTGAGCGGCATGCCGCGTGGGGCCATCCTCCACTGGTACCAAAATTCAGAGCAAGTTCTTCCACGTGCACGATTTTCTGCAGAGCTCTTGCACATTCTTGTACCTAGCGTCGCAGATCCTGACGAGAACAACTATCTCTGATGTCTGATGACTTGCCTGGAAGCATACATTTTTCACCTGCAATAAGTTTCTATAAAACTTGAAAAATGGCAGTCCCCATTCAGGAAGTCATCTTCCAAAGGCCCATAATGGCCCATATCTTTGGAGCTTCCAGTCGTCAGTGTTCAAGAAATTGGGTCTGGGATCTGCAGCGCCACAGGCGGACTTGGATTCAGCACTGCCTGCTGGCAGTCTCCTGCAGATTCATCACAGGGTTCCTTGGATTCGCACAGATTCCCTCAAAAAAAAAAACTACATTGGAAGGGTCGATCCTATTTAGCCACCGTTTCAAGCAACCTTTAAATCGTTCAAAATGGTCAAGATTTAGGGGACCCCTGTGAGCATGGTGGAAGCCACCTTGTATTGTGCTGACAAACTTCACAGCGGACAGGACACGTCCACGCCCGCGGTGCGGGAGCATAGAAGTCACTAAGAACGGATCCTCAAAACTGCTGCCAGTTCTCAGCATCTTCTGGTGTTAACGCGTGCGAACTCACATTTAGAGCTATGGTGAGAGGCACATCCTAAATTTCTCGGTTCATCGTCATCTAGGCAAAAGCACCATGAAACCTGCTACAACTGCCGGCACGGAGCGGCTACCCATACCCAGGCCCAGTCCGCTCACGAAACACACGTTGACGCCGCGCTGTTGATGGTGATCTGGGAGCCATCCACACTCGCCAGCTTGTAGTTAGCCCCGAGTACAAATTTTGTAAGCCAACATGCTGGCATTCTATGGCATAAACCGCAATTATATATATATATATATTCTATATATTTTTTTTTTTCATAGATGGCCATAAACTAGTGCACATCCTCTCCGATGTCATCATCATCATCAAACCATGGTTTTTCCGTGCCATGCAATGGCCTTTCCCAAAGAACGATCTGCTTCAGATCGACCATCCAACAACTCTACGGTGCTCATGTTCGGTCAAGCCTTGCCTTGGAACAGAGGCAAACTCTTGGGGTATGCCAAGGGAAGAAAAGATCGCAGGCCTTCTGATGGCTGGAGCCTTTGCATCTGATTCGCCCTGAACAGCAAAACAGCTGGTATGTTCATCTTCCAGGTTTTGAACTACCCCCGTTTCAGCATTTACATGCATTTACCATTCAAAGCTGTTGACCATCGCTGTTTACCATCCAAAGCTGGTGGTTCCTGTTGCTACAAGCTTTTGGGACCGAGGTCATCCTGAACAGTCTAGAGATTGGTCAACAAATGTTTGTATGATCCTTCGTGACATGGACTCAGGACTTTGTGTTGCAATGCTCCAACCGTACCGTTCAGCAGCCATTGAGGTGACTTGATGTTCATACTTTTGCAGGTTTCACAGCGCGAGTGTCTTGCTCATAGACAGTCAAATGACCATTGTCAACTTCCAGAAGTCTGGATCTCAAAAACCCGGTAGCAAATTGGACCCGCAAATTTTGTGGCTGTTTGAATCTGCTCTGCCTGAATTTGGTCAAGAATTTGTTGAGCCACTTCCATCTATGAGCCAGACTCTGCTTGGTAACAAAAATTTTGTGGTTGGTGGTTTCTGTTTCAACCCTGACAAAAACCAACGTCAGTCAATTCTGGAGCATCATCCCAAATGAATGTTGACTGATCATCCCACTGGTGCAATGTTGAACTGAATATGTTTTTTGTTTTAACTGTAGATTGAAAGAAATTTGAACATTACAAAAAATGTGTATAAAAAATGAAGCAGATTGAAAAGTATTGAAATCACCAACCAAAATTTCAAAGATTTCGCAGCTTACACATCGCCCATCCCCAGCAGTGCTTCGAAACTCTCACAGCCTACGACCCAAAGCAACTCATGGCGCTCGAGCTTTTTTGAACCGCCCAAACGGCCTTTGCAGACTTTCAGGCAACCTGAGCGGAGCCGAGCGGAGCCTAAAAAAAACTTATGGCAGTAATATGGCCATTTCGCTCATCATGATGATATAATATAATGGGATAAAAGGATATCATCATATCATGTGTATATATATGTTAATTGGTAGCTGATTCCAAACCTTTGGACAACCCAGTGTCCAACATACGGGCGGCTTCCCTTTTCTCTCGCCTGAGCAGATAGGTGTCCCTGCGACGCACAAGAGTTGTCCCCTGACAACTGGTGAGATGGTGATATGGCGCTCATGCTGGTGGCTTCAAGACTGGTTATAATCTTCTATATTCTATAACTTTGTAAACTTCCAGATCTTTCATTTGGCAAGGAGCACATCACGGTTCGGCTGACCTTGATCACGGCATCAACACTCGGGTCTGATTGGTGCCCGGAATCATCATGCCAGTTTGGTTTCCAGACTCATCAGCAAAGTAGTGCATGAGAAAATCACAAAGATCCTTAAGCTGTCCCTTGGCATTCTTGCGAGATCGGCACCACTTCACATAAGAAATCTTGCGCTCATCCGATGACGTCACCAGAGCCATATAGGAGGTCTTGGTCTTGTCAAACATCCCGAACGCAATCATGGTGCGACCCCAGGTCTCCACATCGGAGATGCCGTCAGGAAACGCCGGCAAGTGATGCACTGGCAACTGGTCCTCCGTGGTGCCGGAGGGATATGGCATAGCAACCCTGGTGGGGGCATACATCACAGACTCTCCGGTAGAGTTGCGGCCGGTGGCCATGGTGACTCGCTTGGGGTGATGCTCAGCCGGAGGGCGCTCATCAGCTTCACGGCGTTTGGCAGCATCACTCATGGCTCCATAGATCTCAGGCTCTGACTCCTCCCAGAGCTCAGCGGCATCCCAAACATTCTCACACAGGCCAAACTCATGGTGGCACACCAATCCAGTGGCTGGATCATAGGTCGGCTCAACACGTGGAAAGCTCAAAGTGCTGCCAGAGGGCAAGGCAGCCGACTTGGCCTTCGCCAGCAACTTCTGCAACTGCTGAGATTCAGCGGCAGTCAAGGGCGCTGACGAGGAAGCCATCTCAAACACACGAAAACGCACCCAAAAACTAACTGCTGTACACTCACCTCTCGTGGTCTAGCTTGGCCGAAACTCTGAAATGAGAAAAGCAATCAACTGATGACTGATTCTTGGATGTGATACAGAGGCAATTGCAAAGGCAGCTGTGCAAACTTTCGGAGAAACATCTCATGCTCTCTTTCCCTTACATGCTTTACCTAAATAATGCCCCTCTTATGTATTTACTTTTACGCTATCTGATTTTTATTTTTGATTATCATCTGTTACCCCCAGATGATCCTCGGTGGGACCTACACTCTGGCGTTTTTGTGCTCGAAGAGCGCGTTCTTCAGCTTGCTGCGCGAGGACAAATTCCTCTGGAGAAATCTGGTAAGTCCCTGCTCGCACACAGGACCTCAACAAGTCGATTGGGTCTGCTTTGTCTTTGGTGAGTCCATCTGCGATCATGCGGTTCGTGGGGAGCCAACGGATTTGTGCATTTGTCAGTTTAATGGATTCCCTGATGATTACAATGTCAATACTTGTCCTTCTGTCGTCAACTGCTGTAGGTGATGATGGTGATATGAGATGGTCGTATAATGACTTGCAATCAGTGGCCAATACCGGAGAGCGCTTGGCCAGCAGGGACCTACACTGTCGGACCTCAAAACGGCCGTCCAAGGCTTCGGTCAGCAAAAGAGACAGCCATTCTACTGTGCCCGAAGCGGTTGACATCGCTTGGCTCTCACCGCCCAGTGTCGAGCTCACGGCTCGAGGCAGTTTATAGCTTTTCCATGTGACAGGAGTCCAGTGTGATACTTCCCCAGTATGGATCTTCTTTTCACAAAAGGCTATGATATATCCTGCCTGAGTATGAGAGCCTACGTTTGCAAAGGCAGCATCTGAGTGACAAGCTATGCACAATTCTTCTACTGGAATTGGTTGAAACGTGATTTGAAGGTCTTTGTGCTGTTTCACACGTCGAACTGCATTGTTTGCATCACGGAGATGGCGGATCTGTGGCCTTGGAAAAGCCTGCTGAGAGAGACTGGTCTGTACAGCGACATCTGGTCGGGACTGCGAAGCAATCCAGTTCAAACTGCCGTTAATAGCTCGGAGAACTCGCACCTGACCATCATTTAAATAATCATCAGGCTTGGCACTTTTGGGAATTGTTGCTGGCCTGATCTTCTCTGCAAACAGCTTCTGAGACATAGAAATAGCCTTGGTGACTGAGTCTTGACTGTAAAAGGCACCACAAAATTCTCCATTGCCAATTCTCCACTTTCTGTAAGGAAACCGGTCTCTGAGTTGCTTCACGGCATGGTTGAAAAAGGCCCCATTTCCCCCCAATGCAGTATCATCGACATGTACTCCCATTATCCCAACCAAACCATTAGTTGTAGGATCACGAAGGAAATACAAGCAGGCATCAAAGCGTGACTGCTCCCAACCAAAACGTTGGGCTTCGGCATCGAACGTGCGATGCCACGCCGATGGTGCATCATTCTGTCCATACAAATTCCCAGTCACCTCGATGACTGCATCGCTTGGAAGGCCAGGAATGCCACCCTGTGGGGGATGAGCAAACAAAGGAGTAAATTCTTCGGGAAGTGGACCTGCCTCAAGAAATGCACCTTTGATATCTCCTAGCTGCAACTGCCAACCAAACGATGAAATAACTTGCATGACAAGCATCCTACCCATTTGACTCAAGGTGGGAGACTGCAACATGCCTGCAGCTACCTTCTTATCTAAGTCGGGATCAAGATGACCCTGCAAACACCAACGGCTTTTCACACGGTAGGAATTGGGATCAGATTCATCTATGGGTTTATCCTCCTCAGTGGCTTTCTTGGTGATGACAAACCGGCTACCAATGAACCTGTTGGCATGTTGCTCTCGAATTTTGGCAGCTTTGCGGCCATAGTGAATTTTCACAGCCTGCTTGTCGAGAATGGTCTGCCATTCCACTCGCTTTGATTCATCTACCTTAGCTTGAAGTTCAGGGCTGTTCTTGGTTGGATGAATCTCCTTGCTAAGCTTCTTCTGCATATAGTTGGCAATCAAAACCTCTATTGACGAGTGGTCATCATCCCACAGTTCCTGCAAGTGGTTCACGTCCTCGACAGACAGGGTCTCGTGTTCTTCGACACGGGGCTTCTGACTGGCAGGCTGTTCGGACACATCGGCATCTTCAAGCTGTCGCTTGGTGTGCATGGATTCATCATGAGTTTCAGCTACGATAGCACGTTCTACCAACTTGGGCACAATTTCACGCATGATCTCAGCAAAATCGGCTTCCTTCATGGACGGTGGCCGATACAGTGCCGGTGGGCCAGCTTTCAATCGAACCCTTCGAAGAGGACCATAGCTAGAATCAGCGCTAGCACTGGATGATTGTTCAGCTATTTCATTTTCATCCTCCTGTGGTGATTTATCAGGCATTTCACTGGCACTGGGTTCGGGCTGAGCTGGAACAGATGCTTCACTGATGGTGCTGGGCACTGGTGGCTCAACCACATTTGAACTCTGGGCTGACGCTGATGGAGCTGGCAAACTGTCGCTCTGAGACTCAGCAGTCGGTGGCCCCAGAACTGGTTCAGCCATGGTAGGGTAATGACCGGGGACCAGGTCTATGAACTGGTGGCTATGGAAAGTTCCTCCCTCGATCATGTCCTTAATGCCTAGCAATTCAGTTTGAGGGGTGGTTACCACTGCACGTTCTTCTTCAGTAGCTGGCCGAAGCTGTTCAGGAGCAGCTCGGAAAATTTGGCGTCTATGTGCAATTACATAGTTCTTACCAACATTTCCAACTACGACAGCAGTGCCATACCATCGACCTCCAAGCAACACTTGACCCTGTTGATACTTTTGACATCTCCAATATGCTACTAGGTCACCGGCTTGAAACTGCTGGGTAAGACGGGGTCTTGCAGAATAAGCTCGGCGCAGCGCATTGTCATCCTGGGTTTTAATGACCGCAAGACGAGCTGCAGATCTAATTGCCTGACTTTTGGCCATGGAGTCGTCAGTCAAACTGGCAGTGGCGGGCACTACATGCAGGGGTTCGCTAAGCAAGTCTGTGGGGACATCAGGGTTCCTACCAAACACATGTTGATATGGAGTATATCCATGAGACTGAATCATTGCATTCTTGACATGTGCATGAGTCACGCATTCCTCCCAGTCACTGCGGTCACTTGGTGGAAACTCTGCTAGTGTTTTTTCCAGTATACGGCAAAACCAGCCGCCATGTCGCTCAGTCTTTCCGAGTTGCCAGTGAGCTTCTCCAGCAATTGCATGAACATGACAACCCTGAAACTCAAGGTAGGTCTGCAAAGGATCACCAAGATTGGTTTGGGCCTGATCTAAAACCACTTCTTTCGGGGGTCCAAAAACCTTCACCCAGTGTTCTGAAATCACTTGCTTCAAAACCATGGACGTTTCACGCTCGAAAATTGGAATCATAAGCTGATAGCAACTGGACTGGTCCACTATGTTCACAGCCTTGATCTGTTGGTTTGGTTTCCACCCTGGGAGATACTTCACATCTACACCTATACACTGATTGAAAGTGCTTGGTCGTGAAGCTTTGGCTGGCAGCGGAACATGGGGTCGGATTTGAGACTTGCAAAACGCACAGTCGAGCTTGGGAGCTAGGCTAATAGCTCGATCGGATGCCTGAGAGTGCTTCAAAATCCTCACTAGGTCATGGGCTGGTGGATGTCCTAGATTGCGGTGCACTTTGTCCAACACTTTGAGAAGCTCGGCATCCGTCTTCTCGGAAGACAAATCAGGCTTTGCGGCAAGAACTTCCTGTACATGATGGGTCGACCATTCGACGTCTTCGACCATACAGGCTTTCTTCATGCTGACAAACCTAGGAACTGTGTCCATGACTGCTTCAACAAACTGCGGAGTGTATTTACCAGTGAAAGCACTTATTGAACCTACCTCGGGATGTGATCCTGCCACCGGCTGGTGGCATTGGTGCTGAGGGCTCTTACTCCCTGGGCATTGCTTGGCTAAGCATTTCATACTGGCATGGCTAACTAGCAGTTTCGTACCCTTGCGAATCAAGTGCACACTTTTGGGAATCCTAAGTCCATAACGGCACATGTGGCATGTCAGCAAATGGTGTTGGTCGCACAGTCGCTTGACCTCATCATACGTCCAGATCTTGGAGCCTAACGGATGCTCAAAGATGGCTTGTCCTCCAAGTGCAATCTGTTGTTCAAACAATTTGCAACAAAACTTGACAAACATGCGGCTTTGCCGAACACGGCGCATGTACTCTTGAGGATCCATCGTACAGGCATTCAAATGGAACCAACCCCCTTCATCGGTGCATGGAGGGCAGAGAACCAAAAGATCCGGTGGGTTTTCTCTAAGCTCGCGTGCAACATCGTCTCGGGTCTGTGGCTTCGTAAAGTCATAGCCAGTTTTCAGATCATATGATCGGCAGCTACCTCCTACTCCCTGAACCAATGGTGAAAACCTTGGAGGGCAAAACACTTCGGCAACTAGGAGTGGCTTACCATCAACCTTAGTAGATGGGGTCTTTGCTGCATGGCTGACCTGAGACTCTAATTGGCGCACGCAGTGCACAGGCAAGGCCTCAGTGGTGATCATCTTTTCCTGTGGCTGAAAGTGAAACTCGGTTGTAACATGAAGCACCTCTTTGGGAATGTCTTGATGATAACATTTCTTGGGCTTAGTAGTACTAATCGGCTCATCAAACAAAACATTACCAGTGGCACTATCAATAACCCTTCTATGTTTCACGGCTTGCCATGGAGGACCCTGTTTACCTGATGTAATTGCCTTAGAGATATATGAGTCATGTCTGCACCACACTTGCAGTGGATTGAGCTGTCCTGGATCAGCATCGAGGGATGACTTGGAGATAGGTGCAGGCTCGACCGCTATCTCACCGTTCGCATCACTGCAGTCGGATGGGACCTCTGACGAGGCAGGCAGAGCACTCTGGTTCATCATGACTTCTTCAAACTCATCAGCGGCATCGGCCTTCTGAACATCACCAATCACATGAATCACATACTGGCCGGCTTCGTTGGTATGCAAAGGGATGGCCACTTGGTCTGCAAACAGTTTCATTTCGTTTTTGCCAAAATCCACAACGGCTTGCAGGGACTGCAGAGCATTCCTGGAGATCAACAACGGTGCACGACCTTTCACAATTGCAGCCTTAATCACCCCTTGACGACCAGCTATGACCACAGGGACGCGGATCATTGATTCAGAAGTCTCACGCTCACCGTTGCCAAATTTGAAGTGATTCAGCTCATACTGCACTTCGGGAATTGGAATGCCCCGATCTTTCCAAAGCTGCTTGAACTCCTCGAGTGTCTCACGTCCTACAATGGTGCGGCCGCACCCAGAATCAATGATTCCATAACCAGGTGAGCTGACAAGCAGGACCTCGGGAGACACAGGGGACATGGTCAAGGCATTTGAAAGAGGATCACCATCATCAGGACATACTTTGGCATCAGGAAGGACTTTGGAACGTTCAGCTCGTCGTTGACGAAGCAGCATTAGGGCACTGCTGGTCAGATCAGTTGATGGACAAATGCTCACAGCAGCAACAAAATCTTCACGAAAAGGTTCCACCAGAGCCGCACCTGTATCAGCTGACTTTGCAGAGCCAGATCCACGTCCTTTGCCCTTGCCAGACCTACATTCACGGGACCAATGTCCGACTTGATGACACTTGTGGCAACGTGTCTTCTTTTTGAGCTCTTCAATCTTCACACGGTACGACTTGCGAAGATCTTGCGCAGCGCCGAAACGGCGGGAGCGCTGCATCTGGCTGAGCTCCTTGCGTTTCTCCTTCCATCCAACCGCTAGGGCCTCCGCAACTTCTTGTTCTTCAAACACTTCTTCAGGTTCTTCGGCCGGAATCAGTGAGTCATGTTCTGCAAGAAAAGCTTCAACCTCCTGCAGGATGGGATCGCCATCGGCCTCTTCATTTTCAGCTGCATCAGCCTCGATGAGACCTGCCCCAAGAGTCTTACGCTTGGAGACTACATATTCTGGATAGCATTCAGACTTCTTAAATCCTTTAGGATGCCGTTTTTGGCAAATAATTTTATTTACGATTTTTTATGATTTTTTTATGATTTGCAGATATGGTTTTTTTATGGTTGAAAAAATGACTTATGATTTTTTTATGATTTTTTTATGGATAGGAAAATGACTTATGATTTTTTTAATGATTTTTTATGATTTTTTATGATTTGTTTTATGATTTTTTATGTTTTTTTATGGTTTTTTAATGATGGGAAGATGATTTATGTTTTTTTTATGTTTTTTTTATGTTTTTTTAAATGTTTTTTTTAATGTTTTTTTTTGTTTGTTTACAGGTTTTTGTTGTTTTTTGATGTGTTTTGTTATATTTATGGTTTCTCTGATGTGTTTTTAGAATGGTTTTGGTATGGTTTTAATAGGTGTTTTTTACATGGTAGTTGGGTATTTTAACATCTGTTTCCTGGTATATTCAGCTGAGCCATGTCTTTCCCTTTAGTTGGGACAGATTTGCGCAAACAACATCTTAAGGGATTCTTTGGGCACCCCACGGCCAAATCAAGCAGCATATTTTCTCTCGCCTCCGGCTGCTAGATGATACTAGCAGTATGGTATGTGCTTAGCGCAGAGCCATGCAGGGAACATGCTGAACAATTCAGCTGCTCTTGACGCATGTGAGTCTAGGCCGGGGACATACATATATATAATATATATATATTCATATATATATATGTACATCTGAATAATCAAACACCACCTAGGTTATGAACGATTTTGACAGAAAAACTGAGGGGTTATGTTTAATCTCCTAGCTAAACTATTGTTCCAAACTGTGATTTGTTCTTTTTTGGGAGAACACTCCCAGTCCGCCGGCCCCATCACTGTGTGAAAAGTGAGACAGAGCCAAAATCAGCTCGACGTGATGCTTGAATGCCCTGTCTAGGTCTACTATAGGTATAGCAGTACCTAAACTTATTTTTTCACAGTCTTCGGTTCCAAAAGAGCCCTGGCACCTTTCAATAGCTCTTCATGGATAAGACCCTCAGGGACTTTACCCCCGGCTACTGACCCCAATTCAGCTCTGATACATTTGATAGATTCTACATCCTGCGAGTTGAGCAGGGAAGAAATCAGTAGGCCTTCAGTGTAGAAAGCAGCGCCCCTGTTGTAGTCCTCAGTAGCTGCCTTGATTCTCTCTGTGAGGCCCTTGACCTCAAAGCTTCCCAACACTTTGTTCGCAAAAGACTTCGCTTTCCGGATCGCCTGGCATAGGAAACGGTATCAACGTAATGGGGTTGGCATAAATGAAGGGTCACTGGATGCAAATAGTCAATAATCTAGTAATGTATATTCACACGCATTAAGAAAAAACATTGTATGATGCATTGCCTGTGTTTTCGCAAAGTAGTAACGCTAGTCAGTCATAAGAAAGCAAAACCATCCAATATTCCCAGGAAGACAAACAACTTCTCAACCTTGAAACCTGTTTCTGAACCTGGCTAGGCTAGGCCTGGTCGTACTGATTCTTGGAAGGTTCGATTTCGCCAGCATCGGGAATCTTTGAAAGTTTCTCCTGGGCAAACTCCAAGAGAGCTTGGAGAGTCATTCCTTCTTTGAGGTCCTTCTTCCAACTGCCATCTGCTGTGTGCTGATTCTGGGTCACCTTGCCAAAAGTCTGAGCGACTTTGTCCAAGTCAATGAGATGATTGGACACGACCGAAGTGACAATCTTGGTCAAAGGCTCATTCTCGGACACAGACATCAGCAGGTTCTCGAGGCTGATGTCCACCATGTTCAGTCCCACAGGGAAGACACCAGCAGTCAAGGTAACATAGTCATCCTTAATCTTCTGGATGTCTTTGGAGACCTGTGTGGTCTGCCTGCTCAATTTGCGGAGCGCGATCAGCACTCGCTCCAAACGCTGTTCGAGGAGGCCAAAGTCGGTCGCAGGGCCAGCTTCCATCTCGCCAATGCCCTTCAAAACATCCATGCAAAGCTTGAAAGCTTCAACTTGGCTCAGCAACGATGTCTTCACCTCTCCATCCGCCATGTACCCGATCAGAAGGACAAGCTTCTTGTACCACGCCGTAACGTCAACTGGGATCTCGCTTGCCTGGGCGATGTCATTCGAATGACCCCCGAGAAAACGAGATGTCATGTCATTCATCCGGTTCCAAAAAGGTGTTCAATATAATAGGTTGTAAGGTAAGAGTACTACAGTTACTGCATTGAAAAAAATCTACTCTAACACACAAGAGGTTACTGTAAAGCTTCTAAAACACACATCGCAAGACATTCCAACCAACCATAAAAAGGACACAAAAATCATGAGGCCAAAATTATTTTGAGAAATTGTCATTGTCACCTGACTCCCACAAACAATGACAAGATGCCCTGAGCTTGAAAATCAAAGGTCTGAAGTGCCAGAAAACCGCGGCCCCGAACTTCTCCTTGTCATCTCCTTGCAATCCAGAAACTGTCTTGCATTGCTGCAAAAGCCTCAGGAGCTCATCTAGATTTTCACCCATGTCTTTGTCACCTGCTTCTGGCGAACACTCCAAAGGGTACTTGTCGAGGAGGGTTTTCAAATCCTTGAGCAAAAGATCTTGGCCAACTTTGCTTTGAAGTTTGGTGAGCTGACTACAAAGCTCCGACTCAAGCCCGTCGAGGCTACCGACTCTTGTTGCCTTCTTCCAACTCGAGAGATTCTCACTGGCCATCATGATGACCTCCTTCTCCACAGGCCTCTTCTTCAGAGCCAGGACGCAGTCTTGAACCTTTTGCCAGACGAGCAAAGCTGAAGAATGCTTTGCAAGGAGCTCATCATTGAGTTTGGTCCAAGCCTCTGAATCTTTGAAGGCATCTCGCACGTAAGTGACCATCGAATTGTCACCTTTGTACTTGAGAACCCATTCAACATCAGCCGGGCTTGAATCCAGAAATCCCGGAATTGGCGAAGCCAAGCAGGTGATGGCCAGGCACACCTTCTGCATGCGCTCAACTTCATCCTTGAAATTGGATGGGAAGTCATCCATCACATCTGTGCAGTCAGGAGCATCAATTGCGGCGATCAGTGTGCTCATCAGGAGGATGAGCTTCTGACGATGCTCCTTCACATGGGTCAGCAGCGCCAGCAAGGCATCACACCCAAAGGCTTTCTCCAAGCAAGAGGCCAAGTCCTGCAATCGGTGGGTTCGCCCTGACTACTAGATTTATTTTCAAACTAATCACACCCATGCTGTCAAAGATGTGCGGTTGGTGATGGGACCAGTGACAATGCCCTAGGCCCTATTTTTTTTGCAAAGAACGGACAGCGTTTCACGAGCTAAAAATCGGAAGAAAGGACCGGACCTAGACCTAGACTCTAGACAGCTGACAAACAAAGAAAGCTGCTTTAAATTCCCCACCCCTCCCAACCCCAAACGGTCCCCGGCAATCTTCTCCAACTCTTCCTCTTTCTGAGCTTCACTAATGTCGCCCTTCATGACCTGGTTGTTGACACTTGCCACTTCCGCTGCCCAAACATTGTTGAATTGAACCTGGGTATCGTCACACTCCTGATCTGGACTTGCCCATGCACGCAAAACACGAGCAAGCATGTGGGCTGCCTTCTCACTGTTTTCGGGGCTGGAGGTGGTGAGATCAAGAGCCAAATCATTCGTTCTGCGCAGAAGTAGCTTGCACCGGATGCTAAGTGGGAGTTTGATCTCATCCTCTTTGATGGCTTGAAGATGAGCTGCAAGTTCATGCCGGGGCATCCTCTTGAGAATCGCTCCACCCAGCAATGCACCACAGTGCTCGGCGATTGCGATCTGCTGATTCAAACGACTTGACTCCTTCTTGCCGTCGTCCTCCAAACTCTTTGCTAGCACTCTTGCCTCCAAGGGAGAGACACAGGAAATTACTTTACTTCGAGTTATCCCCACCATGACATCTATAGGTTTTGTTACTGGCAAATCTTCTGGCATATCTTCTGGCATTTTATCTGGCATATCTTCTGGCATTCTATCTGGCATTCTACCTGGCATATCTTCTGGCACTCTATCTGGCATATCTTCTGGCATAGCTTCTGACATTCTATCTGGCATTCTATCTGGCAAATCTTCTGGCATATGTTCTGGCAAACATTCTGGCACTTTATCTGGCATACCTTCTGGAATTCTATCTGACATTCTATCTGGCATAACTTCTGGCATTCTATCTGGCATATCTTCTGGCATTTTATCTGGCATATCTTCTGGCATTCTATCTGGCATATCTTCTGGCATTCTACCTAGCATATCTTCTGGCATATGTTCTGGCATATCTTCTGGCACTCTATCTGGCATATCTTCTGACATTCTATCTGGCATTCTATCTGGCAAATCTTCTGGCGTTCTATCTGGAAAACATTCTGGCACTTTATCTGGCATACCTTCTGGAATTCTATCTGACATTCTATCTGGCATACCTTCTGGCATTCTATCTGGCATATCTTCTGGCATTCTTTCTGACATTCTATCTGGCGTTCTATCTGGCCGTTGAGGTCCAGCGGTGCTCACTGAGCTCGGAGGGTCTGAGGTTGAGGTCCAGCGGTGCGCGCTGAGCTCGGACGGTCCCAGGTTGAGGTCCAGCGGTGCTCACTGAGCTCGGAAGAATCCCAGGTTGAGGTCCAGCGGTGCCCAGTGCGCTCAGACCCTTGCAGTTGAGGTCCAGCAGTGCCCACTGCGTGCGGAAGTTGGCGAAGAGCTTGGCGAAGAGTTGGCAAGGCGGAAGTGAACATGGGAGTGGATGCAAAGGTGGTGGAGGAGAAGCTGGAGGAGAGGGAGGAGGAGGAGAAGAAGGAGGTGGAGGATGAGGCGGAGGAGGCGGAGGATGAGGAGGAGGAGGCGGAAGAGGAGAACAACGGTGATAAAATCTAACAACCCTCACCTGGCAGGTGGGGAAATGATAAAAATTGTTGGTGTGTGTGTGTGTATGTGCGTGATGGTGTGTTGCATATAAATGGCTTTCACTCCTCATTTTGCCTACCTTACCTTATTGTAAAACTTCAAAACATCCAAAGCAGTCAGACGTTTTCATAGCCCCGCGCCCCTCGAAGCTGGTGTCCATTCTTTTCGCCCGCGAGAATGCGCTCAGGCACCAGACCCCAAAAACATGGTGGCACGCAGCCGAGATCTTTCACCAGCAGCCTCAATCGCTTGACTGCCATGATCTGGGGATCAGCTTGGTCTGGTGATGCTGCTTGCCCATCAATGTTCAAGGCGTCCTCTGCGTCTAAGTCCTCCACCTCACTCGCTTGCTTCCTCTTGCGAATGGTTTTCTTGGGGGCCGCAACCTCCCCCAAAGAACCAAGGGCGAGAGCAGGAGCGGGCTGAAAGACTGAGACAGAGACATCACTAGGATCGACTAAGGGGTCGTTCTCCTCATTCTCTTCCTCCTTGCATTCCTCCCCACCAAAGCCATCATCATCGTCCAGGTCCTGAACCTGCATGTCACGGTCCTGCAAGGGCTGAAGACAGCCAGAGCCAGACCGAAAGATACAGAAACTTCCTTGAATCTTGAATAAAAACAAGATGGTAGATCAGAAGAAACATCTTTCTTGGAACATGCTGGTTGCAAGTAGTCATGTTAAGTAAAGTTGACATTCGATGTTGGAAGTCATCAAGTAGATGTATCATAGATAGACTTACTGTAGAACTCCCCCTTTATCCCCAGATTGAAAAAAAACTACAGCTACTCGAAACTTCTATGACATAATGATACTACCTTTTTGTACTAAACCAGACCTGAAGGACTGCTGTTGCCCTCTCTTGCAACGACTCCAGAGTATGTAGCTTTTGAAGGGACTTGGTGGAAAGAGCTCCTCCAGAAGCACGTGCCTCCTGCTTCTCTGCTGCAAGGTCAAAAAGCTCCTGTGGCTGCTCCTTGCGAATCTGATTCCCTGCTGCTAGGAGGGACTCTGTCAATTCAACCTCCTGGCGGACTTCTAACCGAACCTTTCGTAGAGAGGCCAGTTCACTAGCTGGCATCCCCCGCAACTTCAAAAGCCAGCCAGAAAGATAGGAACCATCTTCAATCTGGATACGAACTCCCTTGCCCATTTTCAAGGCTGAAGATCCAACACGAAACAGCCTGGTCAAATCAGCTTCGGTAACAAACCCGTATTCTTGAGAAGCAGTCACAGCCCGGATCTGGCGGTGACCAACATCAGTTGGTGGTGAGAAAACATTGGGGGCCTCACCGGCATTGATTTGCATCTTGATTGTTCGAGCTCCATCAAAGCCCTCCTTGAAGCCCGGGAATTTCTGAGCATCATGGTACATGGTTGACACTTCCTGGAACGTAAGCTTGGGAAACCCTTCTGTAGTAGTACTCAAACAGTCGAAGCAGCCAGACCCAATTGGACGGCCGCGAGAGTCTTGAGAACCCCACCGGGCCTCCTCAGGGCATAGAGGAGAACAATGGAAAAGACAGAGTCATAAGTGCTATAGAATATAGAACATTTGAATTGTATGGCATAAGCTGAAGCTAAAGAAAAGATACTGACATGGCGTTACTCGATGTTATCTGGGCATGAACTAACTAAGTAACTAAATATATGAATCATTAGTCGAACTTACGTTACCAACTCCGAATTCGAAAAGCTACCCCATTCATTGCCATTCATATTCATATATAATATTTGAAGCGATTGAGGAAACAACCTGCAATGTTACAATGCTCTCCCATTCTCTCCTCCGGTTTTCGCAAGCAAACAGGGCAAGGTGACCAAGAAGGAGGACTTCCCCTCTTGCTCTTCAAATTCTCCTTCTTCACCGGAACCTTCCCTTTCCCGGACGTTCCTCCTTTGGAGGCTTTGCCAGCTTTGGCCTTGGCCTTGGCATTTGCCTTGGCCGCTGCTGGCGGCACTGAAGCTGTTGTGGAAAGCTCTGCTACCCCCGGCTCAGATTTCACTGCGGCGGAAGCTTCCTTTTTCACAGGAGCTGACTTAACAGCCGCCTTCTGCTTGGCATGGACCGTGGGTTTCTTTTTCGCCTGGGCAAGTAACATTCTTAGGGCAGGCCTGGAAAAAACGAAAGAATTCCAAAGTTCCAGATATGACTCAATGATTGGATTGAATCATCATTTTACCCAATGATTTTCTACAAGTGTCGAAAGAAAACAAATTCTTGCGAACTCTTCTGAAACCTTAAACTTGAAACCCTGCTACTGCTAGATTTTGAAAAAGATTCGAAAACACGTAAGCCTTGGAACAATTCAAATTCAGGCGCCCAAAAACAGCTAGAAACAACATCAATACACCCCAAGACCTAACTGTAGTTCACAAAAGGTAACTTCGCAAAACCCAGTGCGGGAAAGTCGCTGGTGCACTCGAAGATTTCACCATGGTTCTGGTTGGGACTGACCGGCTAGCTTGGGACCAGTGCCATCAGACTGTGCAGAGACAAAATCGGTAAATGCTGATTTGTGGGTATTTGCATACAAACATAAGAGTCTACAGTCTACAATTTACAATTTACAAACCATTAGATTCATTAGATCGAGTTCAAGAGGACGTCCAACAGGCACTTGACACACGCTTGAAGCGGAAATGGAACTCGCACCAGTAAGGAATGGAGTGTATCCCTTTGTTGGGGGTTTTACGTATCTAAAATTAATATATTCACGTATGGGTGCTAAACACATACTTCATAAACAAAGGGACCCAAACCATTCCTGGATGATTTTTATTCACCTTTTTTTTCTTGCACTGCGTGGCGTTCACAGTGGTAGGCCACTGCTATGCTTTTGCATGGGTGAAATCACTAGCTGCTATAGCTGTCTCTGTGCTTCTGGGATCTCTGAATGTCTCAAAAGTCAATAATTATGAATCAAGGGGCCCAATATTTTGATAGCATATAGTGGTATTGCACAACAATGGTAGGAAACAATTAAAATTTATACCATATATATCTAAGAACCATTTGACATCATATGAGGTGACATCAGAAGACCCGTAGACTAAGTACAAATGTGTAGATACTGTGGCATCAGATTCTATGGGTCAGGGTAGCCTTTAATGAGGAACTGTGCCCAAATGCACACCCCAAGACAGGGCAAGGCCATACCCTCCCCTGCGAGCTTTCTAATCTGCTCCACTTTCATGTTCGAAGGGAAGTTCGTCGAATGTGGATTGTGGCCCTGAAGCCACAACATCTCTTTGGGGTGAACTAACCTCCCCAGACCCAAGTGCACCAACCGACTGCCAGTGCACAAAGTGTGGGCAAACCCATCTTTGGTGGTATGACTGCGGCGTACTGGATTCTGGGAAATGTCCACCACTACATTGCGAATAGCAGATTTCAAGCTCTTTTTTGTTTTCTTTTTTACATGTTTGGTCTTTTCGGCGACCACCATATTCAACAGGCTCCTGATCCTATTGGTCATCTTTAACCCTGATACCTTCAGTTCCAGCTGGTCGAAGGGCATGTAGTTCGGACTGATGCCCAATTCATCTCGCCACACCACAATTTGTGACTGCCATTTTGGGTCAGTGCCTGCTAGCCTGCTTCCTGCTTTTCCTGTTGCCTGAGGGAGCAGGTGTACTATAATTAGAAACATGGTTTCCTTGGTTTTGTTTTCTGGGTAAATAACCTACAAACTGAGTGTCAAACCATGTAGCTAGGCATATATCATATAACTTGATTTAATGTTGGATATCTGCCATCATAACCCAGATTTGTTGATGTAATGTTGGATATCTGGATATATTGGATATTGAATAGTTCGAGTTCGACCCTCCTACCTCCTTCGGAAACCATCTAATTATTAGGACCTAGTAAAAATCACAAGGTGATAGAACTGATAATCATAGATAATCTGGTGGGGTCTGTACTCTTCTATTCGTCGCTAATTAGGTGGTCTACTGCATGGCATAATTTATTTTGCTTTCCCATAAGACTTGGAACCTTAAGGCTTCGAGATCAACACTTGTTTCGACCGAGTTACCATGTTCAACCTCATTCCATACTGGTATTCAGATGCTTATTAACAAGCCAAAAGTAAGAGTGTCGAATACATCAGGTTTCAGATCCACACCGACACCTACCTACATTCATATGTATCTTTATGGTAGAAAGACCCTGGCATCCAGGGATTACAAAGGCCCTGGCTTCCAGGGATTACAAAGGCCCTAGCTTCCAGGGAGCTTGGCTGGTACAAAGTCCCTGGCTTCCAGGGGCCCTGGCTTCCAGGGAATAGGTTACAAAGACCCTGGCTTCCAGGGACCCTGGCTTCCAGGGAATCGGTTACAAAGGCCCTGGCTTCCAGGGAATAGGTTACAAAGTCCCTGGCTTCCAGGGACCCTGGCTTCCAGGGAATAGGTAGGCAACATGAGATTGTAGGACAGACCCTAGGGCCTAGGGAGGAGGGAGGGAGGAGGGGGAAGGGAAGGGGACGTTACTGGCCGTTAATGGAAGTGCATGTGACGGTCATTGCCATGGCATTGTGCATGGTTCCTCAGCGGAAATTGGCAGGTCACTGGACCTGCTGGACGGACAACTGGACTAATTCCTGAGACATGGTCCACCTTTGCTTCTTCACACGGGCCAGTTCCTTTACTTCCTGCCATTCCTTATCCTCTTCCCTTTCCTTCTTCTTGCTTCCTTAATCGTCTTCCCTTTTTCTTCCTTTCCTTTCCATCTCGTGAATGGCGGCTTCCTGCTCTCCTATTTCTAGCGTTTTCTTTTCTCTCCAACTTCTCTTTGATTCCGGCTTCTTTCTTTCTATCGGCTGCTTCCGGTCTTCCGTTCTTGGTTTCTGTTGTTCCCCCCTTTGGGTTTTCTTATCGTTCCCTTCCTGTGCCTCTTCTCGTTTCTGCTTCCCCCCCCCCTACCCCCCGGACAGCCCCGAAGGCCTCCTCTTTTCACACTGGTTAAACTGTTCTCCTATGTGGAACGGTTTTGGTCTCACATACGTGGTGGTGGGGGCAGGCTTCTTTGTTTTCCTTGGGGCGTGGGCCTGGACCTAGGACCTGGGTAGGACAGCTGTGGGTGGGATGGAGGGTGCCTAGAGGCGGCTTCCGGGAAATGGAAACCGTAAAAAAATCGTAAAAAAATCGTAAAAAAATCGTAAAAAAATCGTAAATGCCTCCAAGGTCCCCAGAATCTGGTTTTCAGCTAAAAACTCGAGAAATTTTCGATTTTTTTATGATTTTGCTAGAGTTTCTCTGTAAAAAATCAAATTTTCTGGTGGAAAAGACTTCAGGGAAGAGGAAATTCTACGAAAATCGTAAAAAAATCGTAAAAAAATCGAAAATTTCTCGGGTTTTTAGCTGAAAACTAGATTCTGGGGACCTTGGAAGCATTTACGATTTTTTTACGATTTTTTTACGATTTTTTTAAAATTTTCCTAGAGAAAACTCTAGCAAAATCATAAAAAAAATCGAAAATTTCTCGAGTTTTTAGCTGAAAACCAGATTCTGGGGACCTTGGGGGCATTTACGATTTTTTTACGATTTTTTTACGATTTTTTTACGATTTTGCGATTTTTTTACGATTTTCTTGAAAAGGCTTTGGGGAAAAGGAAACTCTAGCAAAATCATAAAAAAATCGAAAATTTCTCGAGTTTTTAGCTGAAAACCAGATTCTGGGGACCTTGGAGCATTTACGATTTTTTTACGATTTTTTTACGATTTTGCTTCCAAAATCAAATTTTCTGCTGAAAAGGCTTTGGGGAAAAGGAAACTCTAGCAAAATCATAAAAAAATCGAAAATTTCTCGAGTTTTTAGCTGAAAACCAGATTCTGGGGACCTTGGAGGCATTTACGATTTTTTTACGATTTTTTTACGACTTTTTTACAGCCCCTAAGTCACCACTAAAACCTGTTTTGATTTTTTTATGATTTTAGTACAGCCCCTAAATCATCCTTTAAGCTCTGATATGGGAGTTTAGGGGTGCCCCAAAACCACCCATCTCCAAATCTACACTCTCCAGTGCCCACTAACCCCAGACCCTGCCAAAACACATCCACATCCACTTTCTTGAAATCTGCTGAGATCTCTTTGAAAAGTGGGGTACCTTTCTGGGCCAGCACCTCCTTCAAAGCAGCTGGGCCAAATCTCGTTTGCCGATCAATGATCACCTGCCAAGGGATTGAGAGAACCCGTTTGGGCTTAGAAGAGTAGGATAGAGCAACCCTGTGGTGGGACATGGGCTCACACCAAAAAAAAGGTTACTTTACTTCGAGTTATCCCCACCATGACATTTATAGGTTTTGTTACTGGCAAATCTTCTGGCATTCTATCTGACATATCTTCTGGCATGTTATCTGGCATATCTTCTGGCATTCTATCTGGCATATCTTCTGGCATTCTACCTGGCATATCTTCTGAAAAATGTTCTGGCATATCTTCTGGCACTCTATCCTTCTGGCATATCTTCTGACATTCTATCTGGCATTCTATCTGACAAATCTGATGGCATATGTTCTGGCAAACATTCTGGCACTTTATCTGGCATACCTTCTGGCATTCTGTCTGACATTCTATCTGGCATACCCTCTGGCATTCTATCTGGCATATCTTCTGGCATTTTATCTGGCATATCTTCTGGCATTCTATCTGGCATATCTTCTGGCATTCTACCTGGCATATCTTCTGGCATATGTTCTGGCATATCTTCTGGCATATCTTCTGACATTCTATCTGGCATTCTATCTGGCAAATCTTCTGGCGTTCTATCTGGCAAACATTCTGGCACTTTATCTGGCAAACATTCTGGCATTCTATCTGGCACTTTATCCGTTGAGGCCCAGCGGTGCTCACTGAGCTCGCAGGGTCCCAGGTTGAGGTCCAGCGGTGCTCACTGAGCTCGGACGGTCCCAGGTTGAGGTCCAGCGGTGCTCACTGAGCTCGGACGGTCCCAGGTTGAGGTCCAGCGGTGCTCACTGAGCTCGGAAGAATCCCATGTTGAGGTCCAGCGGTGCCCAGTGCGCTCAGACCCTTGCAGTTGAGGTCCAGCAGTGCCCACTGCGTGCGGAAGTTGGCGAAGAGCTTGGCGAAGAGTTGGCAAGGCGGAAGTGAACATGGGAGTGGATGCAAAGGTGGTGGAGGAGAAGCTGGAGGAGAGTGAGGAGCAGGAGGAGGTGGAGGATGAGGAGGAGGATGAGGAGGAGGAGAACAACTGTGATAAAATCTAACAACCCTCACCTGGCAGGTGGAGAAAAACGCTGTTCAGCCCTACCTGGCTGTGTAGTTATGTATATATATATATTTTTTTTATTTATTTACTTATTTTTTATTTATTCATTTATTATCATCACCAGTATTGTTTTTATTATACTGAATGATTATACAAAGTACATATATATATATATATATATTGTGTATATATTATATATGTATATGTATGTATTATAATGTATAGTGTTTACACACACACATATATATATATACTTATAATATAGATATTGTGAAAAGATTGTAGGTGAACATCATGCTGACGTCTCGAGTTCACCAGTGTTACTAATCACTACTCCGCTAATTAGCGCTAGTTTCCCCTTCTTATTTATGGTTTCTCACTGCGGAGGCTTCTATCCTGTTATCTTGGATGTTGACAAGATCAAAAGGCCCCAGCTGTTTTCTGTGTATATCCCTACCCTGATAACCATCAAACATGTTCATGTTGCATTTGCATAGCTATGTAGTCACTACAGTCAATGTAAAGATGTAATATTTAACCCCGCAACTTTACACACGCCCAGAGATCAGTTGGTTTGGCCTGTGCAATCTCTCTGAACCTTGCCACATCGGCCTGTTCGTACTTGTCTTTCCGGAAAAAGTTCAGATAGATCCTGCAACGGCTGAAGGGATGGATATCCACAGATGAGGAGCACTTCTACTTTTGGATGGTACCACCTAAAGACAAAGAACATAATCATTTTTGATGATTCCCATAACCACAACCATTTATGATGATTCAATACCTCGGTATGATACAATGAGAAGGAAAGAGCATTGTTGTATATAGTCTCTGGTCCTTTCTGGATGAGACAGGGGAGGTTTTATAACAACAAGAGTAAATGTGAATAAATACCACGTCCAAAAAATATCTCATATTATATGAAGAATCATGTTTGATTTGTTTTAGCTACAATCTAGTCACTAGTGACCACAAATGTCTTTTCGAGGCATTGCATCTCTTCAATGTATGATATAGGATATAGTTTATTGACAATCATTGGCAAAGCCTTTCGATGACCCGGAAAGCTGGAGGGAAGGCCAATGAGCGGCCAGGCTGCTGTCACAAGACCTGTAAGCACCTTTGGGACCTTTCCCCATTCATAAGTTACAAGTTTCTACCTTTGGGACCTTTCCCCATTCATACTCATAACACCAAAAATGTAACAGGTAAAAAGGTATGGGAGTGACACAGGCTGAGCTAACACAGCTTCTCTTTTATCGGAACCTGGGGGTGAAACTAATTTGGTTCATCAGGCTCATTTGGCCTCTTTGGCCTTTCATGGGATGCAAAATCCTGCCAGTTAGCGCACGACATTAGAAGCTCACGTCCCTGACAGCACTGCTGGTGTTTCGGATAGCAAATTCTGACATGCGAAGCCTGATCATCAAAGTGTTCAGCTTGGCTTAGCCAAGCTACCAAATGGCCCAATGGCCGGCCTTGTTCCAACGATTTGTCAGAAGGCTTTGCCGTTCTCGAACGGCTGCAACTGTCATGTCGGGTGCAAAATGCACGATAGGTTTGGCTCTTGGGGTAATAAACTAACCGGCCAACATCACCAGGCAAGTCAAACTTAATCTCAGTTCCAGTTCTCACCTTTGCAGCAAGAACCTTTTTGGGCATGGATGCTTTGGCTAAGACCGGAGGACTGAGACCAGAGGAAGACGACGAAGGCTCTGCTTTGGCTCTGGCAGCCACTGGTGCCGGATGTTTGGCAACTTCCTTTGAGGGAGGAGGGTCTGCTGTGGCTCCTGCCTCAACTTTGTTTTTTTTCGACCCTGGCCACAACTTTTTGGCCAATTTTTTTCGTTTGCTTGATTCCTCGTCATGCATGTCAGGGACATCATCATCAAAAACCTCCTCATCCCCCAAATCAAACTCTTCATCTTCATTTTCGGAGCCAAACTCTTCAAACTGTTCTGCTATTTGCTCTTCCCCATAGACATTTTCAAGTGCCTCTGGTATTGAAATGTTTGTTTTTTTTTCTTTTCAGGTCTGTTTGTTTGGCCAGAACCAGCGGGTGGTCTCTTTTTTGTTTGCTGTCGCCTTTTCTCCTCTTCATTTTTGGCACCATGCCACACCAGCATGTCTGGGATTTCAGCATACTCGTCTACAATGATCTCTCCAGGGAAAAATGCAGCAGCGGGTATGTCTGTGGCTGTTGATCGAATTTGATACACTGACAAAGTCCACATGAATTTGTGGTCGATTCGGGATAGAATGAACTGTAACCCCTTCGAAAACACTGGTGGCGATGGTGCTTCAAGATTGATACCTCCATCAGACCGGTACTCTTTGAAGTTAAGCTCCAACCCTGAAAACTGCCAGTTTTGAAAATTCATGTAGCCAATGTGGTAGTAGACTTCCCTCGGACCTTGGATTTCATCCTGACACTGAAATTCTTGAGCTTTTCGGCAGACTGCAGCAAACCACCCATTCTGCTGAGAACCAACGGCACTGCTGGACGAAACATCTTCCACTGCAGGAAACTCACCTGGCTGTTTCCGCTCAGAAACCCTGAGTCTCAAAACCAAAAACGCTGACTGAACTTGCAAACGGGCAGGAGGATAGTCTGGCTTCTCTTTTTTTGCCTTGGCTTTCACCGCTTCTACACCCGTTTTTTTGGCACGTGGCTTCCGTTTGGCTTGAAGGTATGGTTTCAGAAGGGATGTCATGTTCTGAAGAAAATGGTATGCGTCTTGACCAGCTGCACTGCAAACACACATGCGAAGTTTGTTGCACAGTGACTCTCCTGAGGGTTGACAGCCTGCACGGGAGCTATCAGAATCTAGAATCATAGAGCAGCGCTGTTCCCACTGCTTGTCCAAAGCCCCAAGGAGACCCTGTCCAAATCCACTGAAGCAAGAAGACGTGGGCTTGAAAATTTCCTGCAGGGGGGCAACACGAAGGGAACACACACACACAGATATATATATATATGTGATATCTATATATGTATATATCGATAATTATATATTAAATTTATATATATATATACAAATCAAAGAAAAAATGATTAACCATTGTTGAAACAAACACATAAATTCTCCCGACTATGACTATGTATTAAAAAATGTGGTCTCCCATTTCTTTACCGGATAATCGGATGATTGGGACACACCTTCCAGTGAACCACAATCCTCTACCGCACGTGCTGCCGGTACTTGCAATGTAATGACATCAGGAAGTTTCCCTGACCCAGGTGAAAGCAATGTACAACTTTGGTCACCAGTTTCAATGCCCCAGGCATGAGAAATGTCTGAGTTGGTTTTGCTGGCACTGGAAAGCATGCTGGCCTGTACTTCTCTGACCTTGCCTTCATCTTGTTTTCTGCTGACAGCGGAATCAAACCTCCACTGCTTCTGGGCTGCTTTGACCAAAGCGCCCAGCTCATCCACTTGCTGCGATGCGGCCCCTGGTGTAGAAACTGAAAGAGCGTTGCGTGACTCATCCCTCAAAGTGTTCAATGCATGTCTGTGGGGCTCGAATGCATCAATTCTTCTACGGCCGGCTTCGGTGGTCAGTTGCCCCAAAGAAACCAACGCTTGCCATTCTTCACCTTTTTGACGTTTGATAGCTTGATATTCAGCACTAGACCTACTAAAGTCAAATTGGCTCTTTTCGCCAGCAGTTGTAGTTCCTGTGTATTTCTTGTGAAGAAAAGCACGCCAGGTGCCTCCATGTCCTCCCCGACCCTTGTTCAAAGCCTTTCCCTTTCTCAACTTTCGAACTCTCCTAGGTTTCCGCTGAGTCTCAGTGCAAGGAAGGTGATCATCTGTACCAGGCGGAATGCCCGAGTCAACATTGCCAAAAAGGCGTTCGGTTTCACAAACATGCTGCCGAGAAGTCCATTCTGCATTCAACTGGCAAAACTGCAGAGCCCATGTCTGGGTTGACTTGACATAAACCAACCTTCGTGATGATGAGTGGCGGGACTCAATTGATAGAATATCATTGTCCATGCAGTGGGCAATGCTGGCTAACATGGCCATACATTTTGGACTTCCCATATCTGTCTCAGAAGGGAATTTGGCTATGAAGGCCTCTGTCAGCTCATCCCTCATGCATGGAGGCGTGTTGAAAATTTCTTGCACCGCCCCCACCAGGGCGCCGAAAAGTTTGTGTGGACACCCTCTGTGCCAATCAACCACCAAAGCTTCCACGCTGGAGCCTGCCCTACTAAGAATTCTGAAAGACAGTGCTTGGAAAGATAACCTCAACGCACGAGTTGGCAAATCTACACAAGGATTTGCAAACAGCGCCCCCACAGTCACAAAGAATACCTGGGTTTGTTTGCCAACAAACAGCTCAAGAACACGAAAGGACCTTCTACCCCCATCATTGGCAATTTGGTTTTGCAACTGTTCCCATTTCCAAGAGCTCAAGAAAATGTAATCTGTCATGAGACGCTGGATGGGGTAGAGGACCCACTGCAACATGGCTATCAATGGCCCTGGCCCACAAGAAATGTACAATGCCGCTTTCCTTTTGGTGGCCCTGTTCAAATCAGCCCATGACATGTTTTCATCTACTTGCGCTTCATGCTTCGCGTCTTGTTCACCAATATCCACCAAAGGCAACCCATCAACTTCGCTGGCATCTGCCTGTGCTTGAGACGATCCATGCCGTTTCCGGATAGCAGACCAAGCTTCTAAACCCGTGCCATCCTGAACTGGAAGTGGTTTCGGAACAGCTGCTTCGAAACTGCAGTACCTGAATAGAAGCGGCTGAAGAAGTGAGTGGTGGTTCTCAATCAACCCCACCCAAGAAAATGCAGCATCATGACCCAAAAATGATCCACGGTTCAAGCGGGGACACTGATGAGGTATCAATGCTGGTATTGCGTATTTTGCAAAGTCTGCAAGTACCAGTTCTCTGTCCCGCAGGGGCATGGAATTGTGGATGATTACATCTTGTTGCTGGATGTCCCCATTAAACAGTTTATCCAATATGTACCTCTGCTTCTGCTTGAGTTGAGACTGGGTCGCCTGGTTTCTGGCAACATTGACTGCAGGATTCAGGAATGTGTTGTAAATAAACTGCCGGTGTTCCGAATGCGTGGGATGCCCTGCATGGACTTGAAGTTTGTCCTTGATAATCTCAAAAAGGTACTTCCGCAATTTCTGGGTGCTACCACTCACTGCCAAGCACTGGCCTATTGACAGAACACCTGAAACATGGCCATCGACAAGTGACAATGCTGATTTCATGCAGGTGGAAACCCTGTGGATGCTGCAGAAGCTGTGGGCTTTCACCCAGCCTGGCCTTTGCAAGTGAAACAAATTCTCAGACACTATGTTGGACGGGTGACGGTCCGAACATGGCAACGACACTGACACGTCAAAAAGCGATCGGACTGACTCCAAGTTTGGTACAACATCTTCTGTGGCGGCATGCACTGCAAGGACAGTGCGTGCATCACATGATTCAACGCTTTGGAGGCAGGTTGGCACTCGACCAACAAAATGGCGCATTGAACCATCTTCTAGCTTCATCAGCAGGCAGCTAATTTGAAATTCAGTCTGAAAAATTTTGGCCGGAGCGCCAGCATTCTCTGTTTCACAAAGGCGGTCTGGGTCTTGAGATTGAGATTCTGCTTTCTTCTCAATCGTCCTAATTCTCAAACTTGTTTCGTCGTGCTTTCGCCTTTTCGTGATGACCAAACCCTTGTATTCCTTGGATTCTATCAATTTGGCAACATACTGTAGGAACCTGGCCCAAAAAAAAACGGATGTTTCGACCAAAGCACATGCAACTCTCTGCTGGTCACGCCCTATGGCTTTGCCATCCCGACCATCTGGACCATCTGCTTTTGAGTGTGCAGCCAGACTGGCAACAACATTCCCTGCAAAAACTTGAGATGCTGGGTTCACAAGTTCCTCTCCATTCTCCCCAGTAGAAACTGGTGCTTTGGACTGTTGATGCGCAAAGAGAAAAAGCTGTTTCCTTAAGGCATTGATTGCTGGCACCTTCAGAAAGTAGTATTCCATTTAATTGTGAGAAAATGGGTGTTGAACATAAACTAACAAACAAACAAGCTAACTAACTAACTAACAAACTAACCCAGCCAAACTAGGCCACTAAGCAATAGATTAAGGCGTAGACATACAAATGTTACTTTGAATACAATGACAAGGATCTGAATCATGGTTTCCCCTAAGGCAATGTAATCCGAATCAGACTGCGGGATTTTCTTCGGTAAGGTTGGTACGCAGATATCTTGGGCCACGATGGTTGAACAGGCTTGGTCTTGCCTCAAAGTCTTGAGGCGTTGTCTCAATGCCCCCGATCCAACAGTTCCGGGTGGTCGCCCAACTCGTTTCTTCTTCGTCGTGTTCTTCAACAGTGGGATTCTGAACTTCATGTCCGTGGTCTGGCAATCGGTCCGGCAAACAGTCAGAGTCGGAGGCACTCCGTGCTTGAACTGCTCGCTGCCAACCCAACATGCATGTGAGCGGGAGCAAGGTCGAGAAGACAGGATTCCGTGAAATAGATCCCAATGTGAGTGTACCGATGATTTGTTTAAATCAAAACCGTTTCATACCAATTCAATACCACATTGCGGTTTGTACCCGTGTTTGTTGTGGTGCCCCATGAAGCCAGTTACATAATCACTAGCTTAAAGATGATAATAAATGAATATGTAGTTACGATTCAGTCCTATTTTCAACAGGTGTTGTTTGCAACGTTTGTTGCACCTGCTTCTCAACAATTGAGCCACCAAGTGAGGCGAAAGAAGCTCGCGGTGGTGAAAACCAGCCCACAACCCTGTCAACTTGCACCCATGAAACCCCACAACCAAGTCAGTCCTCGGGCGCAAAATTCGAAGCCACAGCTTCATGTCAAGTTTCAAGACGACCACGTAGTAACCATGTCTCAGCTTCAAGCGTTCCAAACCCTGCAAAAACCTCTGGAGCAGCGATGGGAATAACCGGGATTTGGTGAGACAATGTTACATTTTTTTCCATTAGTGACTGCTGCACGTGGAAAATATTATGGCTTAACGGTTTTTTGGACCAAAGACAAAAAATATGTAAACATCTCTGGCCTGGAAAGCGGTGTCTCATCAGAGTGAACTTCTAGTGGTTTCTCAAACCCTTCCGTTTGCTCCATGACTGCATTGACAGGCTCAACTTTCTCCAACATTTCGAACAGGTCTGAAAAGGTGTGGTCAGACAGTGAATGTCCCATAACACTTCCTTTCCCGTATCGACAGGCTCTTTGTGTGCTAAAAGGCCCACCACAAGCAAATTGCAACCTTCCCCACCCTCACACTCCGCAGACTCGGGGTGGCTTGTGCATGGTCTATCGTTGATCTGGTCCAACAAAGTGTCAAACCTGTGATCTGCTTTATGGTTACATTGGGCGAAGGCCCTGAATTGCTCACATGGCTCAGATGTAGAAATGCACTGGAATGGAATACCAAGCTCCTGTTTCGAAATGGTGGCCAAAGGTCGAAACACAGAACTGTATAATCATTTAGATTTACCCATGTGAAGACAGAAAACATATTTGTTGGTGCCAAATAGTGAAACATTGTCCCCTGTCAACAAACAAACAAACAAATAAACTAACTGACTGACTGACTAACTAACTAACGAACGAACGAACTAACTAACTAACAAACACAGACACATCTTGTAAAATATGGCAACCATACACATGCCTTCAATGGTGTGTTTATTTGCATGGGTCTGGCTAGTAACTAGTATAAGTATAGATGTTGCTGGTAGTCTCTAAGTCATCCCTAAAAGCACCAAAACATAACCCAACAAAGCCCACCCTCCTTCAACACAGCGCCCTCTGCACAGCTTCCCGTGCAGCCACTGATCAAGGAGATTGGGCTGGTGCGCTGGGGAACTGTCAGCTCCCCTGTGTGCCTCTTGAGCATGGGCGACCAGAATGCACAGCCCTGGGCCATCTCTTCTGAGTCGCTGACGCTGACATGTGATTCAGTCAGCTGATCAATGCTCTCTTGGGAAGAACTCACCACACTCACCGCCCTTGCCCATGATTCCATGATAGGAGGCTCCTGGAACCTACCACCCTTCTAAGCCATAAACTGCATGTGAGCATGGGATTATGTTGACCCAAGGAATGGAAAACACAAGGGCACGAAAATCACAAATAGCTTGCAAAATGCATCTGGATACCACTGGGATAACTCCACCTACATCAAACCCAAAATACCATGCCCAAAACCATATCCAAACCGACCCAAAAAAAAAACATAAAAAAAAACCATTAAAAAATCATTAAAAAAAAATCATAAAAAAAATCATATCCAAAACCATAAAAAAAAAACATTAAAAAAACATAACCACAATTTGAACCCATAAAAAAATCATAAATGGAAATCGTAAAAAAAACATAAATAAATCATAAAAAAAAAATATTTTGAAACCCCTCCATCCTAGAGACTTAGGAACTCTGAAGGATAGCACGAACGCATGGCGCGTCCCACAGCTTCACGCTTCATAGCTCCCCCACTGCGAGCAAGGACGATGGCCTTCTGCTCCTCGCTCAAACCTGAGCGGTGAAGAATCAGCCACCCTTTTGCCTCTTCTGGAAAGGCAACATCGCACTTCCTGCTGCATCGGTCAAAACATTCCGTTGCACGGGAAATCCAGACTTTCAGAGTTTCGCCATCATTGGCCTTGAGGCTAAAAACTTCAGTTAAAACTTCAGACATCTCATCCAGCGTCTCCTTCTGAGGAAACCGGTCATCTAAAAGTTTCAGAAGCTTTGTTTCGCCACCTTCGACATGATACTCTGAGGGATCCAGATGTTCAACACATTCCAACGCCTTGCCCTGTAGGAGCGTATACACATAGGCACCTCGTGCCTTCGCAGACACTTTCCCATCCAGGGTTAGGAGTTTGTTGATAACCCATGTTTTCCATCTTCGATATTCCTTTCCGTCCTCGTTCTCACCAGAAAACATTTTCGTGTTTCCATCCGCAGAACCACTGCTTGCACCGGCCATGGCGCTCAAAGAATCCACGGATCGCCTGACCCGCGGAGCCCCTCTTTGGAGGCTCCGCTACCAATGTTAATTGGTAGCTGATTCCAAACCTTTGGACAACCCAGTGTCCAACATACGGGCTTCCCTTTTCTCTCGCCTGAGCAGATAGGTGTCCCTGCGGCGCACAAGAGTTGTCCCCTGACAACTGGTGAGATGGTGATATGGCGCTCATGCTGGTGGCTTCAAGATATATATATATATGTACTGTATATATACACAACATGATAACAACATGATAACTGGGTTTTATGGCTGTATGGGTGGGTATCCCCCAAGTTTTGGCCACTTGAATGCGGAAAGCGGTGATGAACCATTAGTCAGTGCTCATTGCTCATGTGTAGACCCCAACATTAGGATTTTGGGCTTGGGTTGTTGCTTGTTCAGGTTGGAGAAAGTCTTCAATACCTACTTCAGGGTTAAGCTGGATGATGATTATAGGGAGGCCTAATTTCAGACAAATCCGTATCAAAGGGTATGTGAGAAATTATGGGAGATATACCCAACAAATGATATTTGGAGATGTTTCAAACTTGGGCAAAAACAACCAGTCTTTGCAGCGTTAGCAACGCGTGTAGTTGTGCACGAAGTGGATCAGACTGAACTTCCGCGGAACCTCCAGGGCCATACCATGGCGTTGCAATGGACCCCCCCATGGTTTGAGAGAACCTACCTGGCTTTCCTCCTCTGGTGATAGGTTTTCCCATTTCGAGGCATGTTCAATACATCCACTACCACACGTCCCCCATCACAAACCTTTGGTGGCCACCAAAAAAGACATCCCTCAAAAGATGAACCATACCCCTTCTCAAATCCCATCAAGAAAATGCCCGCCGTATCCATAATCTTACAACCCAATCCCCCAAATCCTCCTATCAACGCCCCGATCCCGGCCCCCGTGAGTTGTTTCCACCTCATTCTGGCCCTTCTGCATCATCAGTGCCACCGAAGAGCGGCTCGCCTCACTGATCCACTGTGCCGCCAGAGATGCCTTGGGCCGCTTCTCCCGCAGCCGAGTCTCATAGATGCTAAGCCAGGCTTCCACCGAAGGACCGATCTCACCTGGGTGCTGCCATGGGATCCCTCCAACTAACATAGACCCTTCCAAATAGGTGTTGAAATACTACCTCTTAAAATGATTCGAAGGGTCTATGTTAGTTTGGAGTGTACTAATTTGTGGCATATTTGTGGATTTATTTGGGACTAAAAGATATGGAAGACAACTGTGGTGAAAACCGTTGAGAAAAGACCTATACATGGTGGATTTTAGATATCTATATTAGTTTTCTGTAGGGTAGAACGGTTTGCCTAGTACATGGGGATATGATGCTATATTCAGATGGTTCATGAGAGATATTGGTCATAAGCAACCATATGACTCTCGGGTCTCAAAATGTGGAGAAAACCATTCAAATACCCTCTGGTAATTCAACATAGCTATTGAAAATGGCACATTTGTAGTTGATTTACCTATTAAAGATTGTGATTTTCCATAGCTATGTTAGTTTACCAGAGGGTACATGGCTTGATGGCTTGATGGCTTGAAGCCTCAATTTTCCCACCGATGGCCCTAACTTGGGGCCGCATTCCCACTGGGACGAAGCATTAAATACCCATAGCAGGGCCGCTTTTAGGTACCAACTATCAACGAATAATCTTCAGTAGGTCAGTAGGTCAGCATACTATGCCGCGTACAGCATGAAATGAACCCAACTTGACCAAGTAAAAAAATATGCATCTCAGTTCCCCGAAAACTACAAGAAAAAACTATGCCGTTGGACTCATACAGTACCCATCTAGGTTTGGAAAATCGGCGACCCCCAAAATGTGATGTCTTCGGATGTCATTTTCCCCATTAAAACGGGCTGAATTGAGGGTTCAATCCACCGATTTCAGACAAGTCCATATCCATTACTCACTGGTCGCATATCCAAATCTATCCCCATGAACGTTTATAGTTTATATCAGTTATATCACCCATTATATGGTTCTGATGGGGTTATAGATTAATTATACCATTTATACGTACCATCTATGAGATCAGGATGCTGTGTTTAGCATGCCGTGAATACAGAAATTTGATGTGTTTTTTTTTGCAAACTGCAGTATACTCTCCATTTACTTCGGGGATTTCACAGCTTCCCATGTTTCCGGAGGGTTTGCCCCATCTCCTGATTTTTTCCAAGTCACAGTGCAAATGTTGGCAATACAGCAGCATCTGCCTCTGCACTGCATTTCGGGGGAATCTGGTCAAATGCTGCGCCAGTTCCTCAAGTCCGGTCCGTTGGTTCAGGAGAAAATGGGAAACGGGATATGATGGGGACTTTGCAGGGGTTTTTTTCCTGTCTGGAAATAGTATACCTCAAAAATCGCGACTTAAAAATAGGGAAAAAGAGGATCAACCCTTGGACTCTGGGGTATTCAATTTTAAATTAAACTCGTTGACTAAAAAAGGATCCACAAAATGAGGGTTCGACCAGCAGCAATGAGAATCTTTACGGCCAAAATAAAGGTCTTATCTATATGTATATATATATACACATATGGGTATGGGTCAAGATTAGGTACCCCAATAATTGGATGGTTAATACTAAACTAGACTAACATCTGTGGTCCCCTAGGTCTTCCATTTTGACCCACATCCATATAAATAGTAATGAACTAAACCAGAAAATAGAGCTTAAAGTGGCTTTTGCTCTTGGATATATCCCAGTTTGGGACGATGTAAAAATACACCAATCAATGGCATTTTCAAGAAGTAACATCGATCCTTGTTGTGGTTAAACCCACATGATCCAACAAAAACAAGGATTTTAGATATGCTTCGTGGTTGAACCCACACCTACAAAAAAAATGAAAAACACTCATTCCACCCCGTGGTTCATGATTCCCCCCGTTAAAATGGGCCATTTTCCGTAGCCTTTCCCGTGGCACGCCCTAAAAATATTTCTCCAGGTCTCAGTGGACGAAAACTTCAACGCCAGCGCCGCCAGTGCCGTCAGCGTGGTCTTGCGCTCCGCTTCGGACAGCAGCGATGCCACCGCGCTGAAGCTGAGGGACTCCAGAAGCGCACCCCCTTGCAGCAACGCACTGAGCCGCACCCAACCTGTCGGTTCCATGTCGTTTCGTGGTCAGCGGGTCAGCGGAAGTAACTTTCCAACCATTTGATGGGTGAAGAATGGGAAATCGCGGGGTGATACTGGCGAATTTCCATGAAATACGTTTTTTTTCATGGGTAATAGCCAAGCCTATTAGCCATGGACTTACCATGAGTTATCAGTTTGTCTCCTAGCCTAATGATGGTTAATTGTGGGCAATACTATTTGATTAATAGTTCGTAGTAACCCCTGAATGATCTATTTTGTTTTGATGGTCCAGTTGAGCCATGACTAATGGTTGATATCCCCATAGATAGATAGAATAGAATAGAACAGAACAGAACAGAACAGAACAGAACAGAATAGAATAGAATAGAATACAATAGAATAGAATAGAAATGAATTAGAATCGAATGGAATAGAATAGAATCGAATGGAATAGAATAGAACAGAATTAGATTAGATTAGATTAGTTTTAATTAGATTTGATTAGATTTGATTACATTAGATTTAATTAGATTAGATTAGATAGATAAGTAGATTAGATTAGATTACATAAGATTAGATCAGATTAGGTTAGATTAGATAAATTTAGATAGATTAATTTAATTAGATAGGTAATTAGATTAGATGAGATTAGATAA